GGAAAGCTCTTTCACACCTCGGAGACAATTCTTTCTTTTGTTTGAAAAAAATTCGATTAAATTTTATATTGACTGATATTGTTTAGAGAAATTCAGTGTTCTGTATAGTTTTAGAGAAGAATTGACTCTCGATTGACTGTACTGATATTGTAGACAGATGATATTGTAGATGAGTCTAGTCTATTGTAGATGAGTCTAGTCTATTGTAGATGAGTCTAGTCTATTGTAGATGAGTCTAGTCTATTGTAGATGAGTCTAGTCTATTGTAGACAGACAGTCTATTGTAGACAGACAGTCTATTGTAGACAGACAGTCTATTGTAGACAGACAGTCTATTGTAGACCAATTGTACTATAGTGGAACGTTAGTTTTTCAAGCCTTTAAACACATATTTAGCTTTTAATCTCTTAAAGTATTATAGGGTTTGAAAAAGTTCTCAACTATAGCACTAAGCTCGATTTAGTATCTTTTAAAGTTAGAGTTTAGTATCTTTTAAATTCTAAGTAATCATAAGTATTTTAAATCATGAGTATCATCATAAGTCATCTTTGAAATTTCAACTTTTCTATTTATAAGTTCTACTTTTTTTTCAAATAAACCATTAGTTCAACATATTTGTGTAACTTTTTTAACACCATATTTCAAAATTTCATAATCTTTATCATGTTTATTATGATTTTCTAAAAAAAAAACATTCCCATTCGGTGAACATTTTCATCCGTTTTCTTTAATGATTCAATTTTAATCAACTTTTTCTAACTCTTTGCCGGATTTTCCCCAAAAAAACAAAGTCTCACACCTTTTTCGTAATGAAAATCAAGTTTTCTTTTCAACAATCTGATCGTCATTTGAGAAATAAGCGAACAGCAAAATATTGGGTTGATGGAAAAGTCCTTTCGGATTTTTTGGGAGAGTACCTTAAATTTGTCGAATTTTGACGTTTTATAGCTCATCCTAAAGCTGAATTCAAGACGGATCGATTGGTAAAAACCGTTTTGAGATATCTCTTTTCTAAAAGTTTTTACAGCTACTTTAGTAAAGGGCGGCAGAGCCAAAAAAAATGGCTGTTTTCACGTTTCGTTAGTTTTCCGTGCAGAAACCTATAGATAAATAGATCCAATGATCTACAGCTCTAAGTATAAAACGGATTTTGATAAAATAACTATCGTAATCATTTATCTTTTTATATTTATTTTTAATCTATTATCTTGATAAAGATCTGATAAATTTGATCTATGAAAGAGTATTCAGTCTATTCTTTATAAGAATATTCAGTCTATTCAGTCTAAATCTAAATTCAGTTAGTGAAGAAGAACGGAATGAGCTGAGAGTCTTTCGAAAACTCCTTTGAATTACCGTATTTTCTGTAATAGTAGTGCACCCCGAGCTGGTGACTATTTAACGGTTTCCAAGCTTTCGCAGAAGCTCAACACTCAAATCCCCCACTGGATCTAAATTTAGATAAATCTAAATTCCTTTTTTTCATCTATTTCATCTATTTAAATCCTTTTCGTCTTCTCCAAAAATTTGAAATCTTTATAAAAGCAAAACATTTTGTGAATATTTGGAGAGGTTTGTCGATGAAAGAAAACGGAGAATTGTTGAAAGACTTTTTAAAAAAAAAAAGCATCTATTTTGATAAAGATGAATCAGAAAGAAATCGAAAATAAAGAACAAAAAGGAAAGCAAAAAATGAGGAGAGAGGTTTGTCTTGGAAATCGGGGAAACGGGAGGAGATGGAGAGGATGAGTCATGGCACATTCAAAACTACGATTTAAACCAAAAACATAGCCAATAGTCTTGTCTGCGATTTGAAATCTTTTCAATTTTCTTTCCATTTTCTTTCCATTTGCTTTCTTGATGTTATTCTCGAAGCTGAACCCTGCTTTGTCTTCTTTTTGAGAGTTTGAGAGTTCATTTCGATCGGTTTTTCTCTTAAACAATTTTATTTTACAGACTTAAAGAAGATTGAAAATAGTGAAAGATTTTAAATGAAACTTTTCCAAATTTACCTCAGTTTTCTGAGAATTTTTAGCAAATTGATCAATGATTTTTTAACCTTTTGACTTATTTTATTTCTAATGAATTTATTTATGTAAATTATAGCTTAAAAACTTAAAGTATACCGTAAATACTGTACTAGTACCCCACCCGCCTCGTACAGTCGCGTAGTCGCAAAAGTTTTTTTAGTTTTTTAGTATTTTAGTATTTCATTTTTTTCAAAGCGCCCATACTTTCAAAAAATGCGGCTTTGGTATCAAAAAATAGCTGAAATTCAGGGCTATTTTTTGATACCTAAGCGCGCATTGTAGCATAAATCAGTGTCGAGAAAAACGCGTTCAAAGCTTGACTACGGAACACTCCGCACCGTCATTATCGGGGTGGGGTACTATTACAGTATTTACGCTAAGTTATATATATCAAAATAGCTTCTAGAAAAGTTAAAAATAGAGAATAACATGTTACAATAGATGTACAAAATGTTTTAGATAGCTTTTTGCTGATGCTTAAATTCTTGTAACTGTTATCGATTAAATAAATGAGTAAGTAGATTGTTGATTGCGAGTTGAAGAGTTGAGTCATTTTTGGTTTCGAGCTTTCAAGTGGGTTGATGATGGGATGGAGAGGAGTGCTGTGAACTCCCCGCATCCCCGCTTGACCACATCGAGACAGGAAAACTCAACTCCTCAAGACCAAGTTTTTCAAAGTCTCTTTACTTTACCTCTTCATCCAAACCGTCTGCGAGTCAAAAAGAGGAAATGAAAGGTGAAAAAGAAGGAAAAGCTCTCGAAAGACCCGCCCATTGCTTTTCTTTCTTTCTTTCTTTCTTTCTTTCTTTCTTTCTTTCTTTCTCTTTCTTTCTTTTCACTTCTATTTCACTCCCGTGTGACCACGAACGATTTTTAAGCTTAAGCCTTCAAACCTTTCACTTCATAAACCAAAACTTTACGGGTATTTACAACTTTCCAGAACTCGTGATTTTCTCCTTTCCATTCACTGATTTTACTTTTGAAAATCTTTCCCTTTGATCTTCGTTTGATTGATTTGATTTTCTCTCTTTTCATTACTATTACATTTACTATTATGTTTGATTTTCTCTCTTTTCATTACTATTACTGGTTTTCTTGAGAATTCCCAGAATAAATTCGGAGGATTTCACATGCTGAATTGGGAATAGGAAAAAAAGCCCCAATTTACAATTTGACACATAAAATGGGAATGAGCTTAGGGAATGGGAATGGGCTTCAAGCAAAAGCAAAAGCAAAAGCAAAAGCAAAGCCAGATTAGACAGACCACGAATTTTCTTGATAAATTTAACAACTCACTTCTGTCCTCATAGATGAAAAGCTAGAGTGCTCATTTTTAAAATATTTTAGCTTTAAATTTATGAAGTTACTTGATAAATCAGTTTTGGCAAGCTGATGTAAGCTTGTTTCGCTTTGAGTTCGCTTTTTTTGAGTTGATTTGTTTTGGTTGAATTTTTTTGTATTTGGCTTTGAATTTTGGCCTGATTTAGGTCTAGTAGTTTTAAATTAGTCACCAAATTTCCCTATCCTAACTCTGCTGGTAAACTAATTACGGATCTTTGATGTCTAAATAGCAATTCAATGAGAGAAATACGTATGGCATTGAATGCGGTCATGGAAAAAAAAAGAGTTTAAAATTAGAAAACATTCATCTATTCATATAGAAATGTTGTGTATTTGGATGGGAGATTTTTGATTTCTAGATGATAATCAAAAGTAAATTCGATTTCTTTTGTTTAAAAGAAGAACAGAATGAGCTGAGAGTCTTTTGAATTACCATATTTTCTGTAGCACCCCGAGTTGGTGACTATTTTACGGTTTCTAAGCTTTCGCAGAAGCTTAACACTCAAATCCCCCACAAGATCTCATCGTCAGCTATATTTTCCGACCCCACATCGATAGGTTTTGATAAGCGGTTCTCGAGATTTCGAGGAATTTAGGCGACGATCAGGGATCTCAACCCTCAAGTCTTCCCCATTCAATTTCCCACTACTATTAGAGAAAATAGTAATACCTTATTGACATTTCTTATGCATGTATCTAATAGATGAAAATGAGAAGTAAATTGGATTTGTTTTGTTTGAAAGAAGAACGGAATGAGCTGAGAGTCTTTTGAATTAAATAGAAACCCATCCAATAGCGTCTTTCTTTTTTTCCCCAGCGAAAATTCACCCTTCCCCTTTTTCTTCGGTTCCTTAATTTCATTTAGTTTCTTCTTTTCTTTCTTGAGAATCTCAAGAACCCTCGATTTTAAGCTTTAAGCTTTAAAAACAAAAACAAAACATTCAGCAAATTCAACAAACAATTCAGCATCGATTCATCCTTGTTTATTTCATTTTTATGAACTCTTTCCCTGTTTACTACTAGAATATCTGAACTCTCAAGTCTTCCCCATTCAATTTCCCATTTTTTTTTCTTTATTATTCCCGATTTTGAAATGTATCTTATCTTTGAAGAAGTGCCAGATGCACTTAAAAGCTGAAAGCTCAAAAAAAATGAGTTTCCTGTGTGATCTCAGAATCATTTATCAATGTATCTTCCGGTCGGAAAACGGCATAAAGAAAAGAAACATTTTCTTTTTTCTTACCATTATCTTATCCAATTCTGATGCCAACACCTTGTTTTGTTTGTCCCTTTTCTTTCCTTTTCTTTCCTTTTCTTTTCAATTCAATTCAATTCCATTGAGATCTTTCTCGTGACTTCAACCTTTTTCTTATCTTTTTTTTTTTTGCTTTTTTTCAGATCAAACTCATTCCTTTATTTGTTTATTCAATCATTTTCAGTGTCTCATCGTTGAAATATCGAGTGGTTGGGTGTCTTTCAGTGGATATTTTCACCCCCTCGGGTGACCACCCATCATTGTCTTTTTGGCCATAACAAGCCCACAAAAGCACTTCACATTTGGCTCTGTGTTGAGCTAACTTCATCAATTTATCTGCAACTCTCTGAATTCAAGAAAAAAAAAGAGGAGAAATGGTGAGGAAAGTTTAAAGCTAACTGTAAAAAGACTACCGTATCCCAGTTTGGCTGAATATCTTCTTGTTTAGAAAAATATTCAGGTAAATAAGGCTCTACTATAATCGCAAGAAAGTTTTTTTAAGAAAAGCAGTCAGAAGTTTATCCAACAAAGCTCAATTGATTCGATTCGATTCACTTTTTTTTCCAGGATTCCCCTCTCGGAGCATTCCAAGCCGAAATGTTGCCATACGTTGTCGGTGGAGCGGTGATCGCTTTCATTTTGGCTTTCGCCATCGGTGCAAATGACACAGCGAACTCGTTTGGAACAAGTGTTGGAAGCAAGGTAACCATTTTTTTTTGATATCTTTTTCAAAAACTTTTGTTTTTAGGTAATCACCCTCTGGCAAGCGTATCTCTTAGCAAGTGTTTTTGAGACTCTAGGAGCGATTTTGCTTGGTTTGTTTGATGTTTAGTCTCAGAAAAGTTATGGGAAAATTTCTAGGACATAAAGTAACGGATACGATGCGGAAAGGAGTCGTCGACTTGGCTGTCTACAATGGAAGTGAAAAGGAGTTGATGTTTGGGCAAATCGCCGTGCTCACTGGTGAGAGATTAAAGTTTAAAGTTTAAAGTTAAAGTTAAAGTTAAAGATTAAAGTTAGAGATTATTTTCTAATCTAGTCTAGTATGCTTACCAGTAGACAGATTTAAAACAGTAGACAGAGTAGACAGTATTTAAACTCTCTAGGCTGTGGTGCATGGATGTTGATGGCTACCTTCTTCAAGCTTCCCGTTTCCACAACTCATTCAATTGTCGGTGCCACAATCGGTTTCTCTTTTGTCCTTCGTGGATCAAGCGGGATTCGTTGGGAGAAAATCACGAGAATTTGTTCGTTTCTTTTACTTTTAAGCAATAAATTCTCGATTTTTAGTTGCCTCTTGGGTGATTTCTCCAATTCTTTCCGGTCTCGTCTCCGTCATTTTCTACGTTTGTATCGATCATTCAGTGTTGAGAAGAGTGTGTTTTCAAATGAACTTTTCAATAAGCTATATCAAACCTCTTGAATTGTACATGTTTACCTCCATGTACATGTACATGTTACTTCAAATCCAATTCTAGAAGCCTAAGCCATTCTCATAAATCTCGATCAATTTCCAGAGCCGCCCTCTCTCATCCGGTCTCCTCGTGCTTCCCCTTATCTATTTTCTCTGCTTCGCTTTCAACATCTTCACCATCATTTTCGAGGGATCTGAATGTGGGTTTAGATGAGGATTGAATCATAATCATATCATCAATAGCTTGTCATACCAATCCACATTCATCCTCTCCATTTCAGTTCTCGGTTTCGACAAGTTGACTCTCACCATGTGCATTGCTCTTTCCTGCGGTGGTGGCCTTTCTGTAGCCATCTTGGTTTACCTCTTCCTTGTCCCATATCTCCGTAATCACATTCTCTGTAAGTTCTCTCAAAATTTTCCTCCGAAATTTCGTGGGAAACGAGCGACTTTTCAGCGAGTAGTTCATCAGCGAGACTCGTGGAAATGGCGCCCACCGTTCAACGTAGCCAAATCAAAGCATTTAACGCAAAAACAAACGATTTTTAGCGACGCAAAGCCTATTGGCGTATGAGAATGGAGTGGCCGAGAGTGGGCTCAATATGAATTCGAATGGGAATGGAGTGACGAACGGGAAGGGGGATTCGCCAACATCGCTTGTCGTTACGAATCATCAATCGCATCGTGAGTTTGAAGAGACCAAGACTTACAGACGGATTGTAAGCCGTAATACGACACTTGACAAGCTGTAAACTATTAGCATTCGCTACGAATTGGAAATGTTATCTGTGTCTATAAACTCTAGTTCTCATTTCAGCGCAAAACGTCGTCGCTCCATCAAGCTCGGTGGAGGCTTTCTTCCGAAGTTCAAAGCCAGAGGACCCGCAAGCGTCACAATTGTTCTCACTTCTCCAAGTGACAACCGCCTGCTTTGGAGGATTCGCTCACGGAGGAAACGATGTCAGGTACGAATTTTGGATGATAAAATATCTTATTCATGTTTTTATAGTAACGCAATCGCTCCACTCGTCTCATTGCACGCGATTTTCGTCGAAGGAACAGCTGATCAAGGAGGACAAACACCGTGGTGAGTTAAAAGTTAAAGTTACTGCAGTTAAAAGTTTATCATAGATATTCATCGATAAAGCTTTCACATATCTAGAATCTTTTCGCAGAACTTTTCTTCTAAAGGCCAATAAATATTTTAAGCTATCAAAATGTCTCAAAAACGATAATAACCTGAATTAAACGAATTTCTATCAAATCCTATCCCCCTTTTAGGTACATGCTCTTGTATGGCTCACTCGGTATGTGTCTTGGCTTGTGGCTGCTGGGACATCGAGTGATCTACACAGTTGGAGAGAATTTGACAAAAATCACTCCAGCTAGGTATGTTTGAAAAAGGAGAAAAAAAAGAAACTTTTTTCCCAAGAAAAACCCAAATTCCAGCGGCTTCGCAATCGAATTTGGAGCCGCGGTGACAGTGTTGGTTGCATCAAAAATGGGATTGCCGATCTCGTCCACTCAATGCAAAGTGAGTTTTGAGGAGGAGAGAAGGGGGGAGAAGAAGAGTTTTCATAAAAGAACGGGAAAATGTTCAAGGATTTTCAGTTTAAATGCACGTGAATGCACAATTTGGTTCCTTCTAGTCCAAGAGCCAGTTATTCACCAAAAAAAGTTCCAGGTTGGCTCTGTGGTTGCGGTGGGACTCGTGCAAGCGAATCACGCGGTCAAATGGCACACATTCCGGAATATCTCGTTGAGTTGGCTAGTCACATTGCCAGTTGCAGGCCAGTGATGAAAAAACATTTGAAAAAGACTCTTACTGAATAATTGAATTGATTTCAAACTATCGTTGCATACTGTAAGTGAACATGAATACAAATAGATACAAATTGCTTACAGTGCTTTTTTTCTAGGCCTCCTCTCCGCCGGGATAATCATTTTCTTCAAATTGGTTGCCTTGTGATGAACGTTCATCAAAAATCCAAATGTGCCTACAAAAATAGTCGATCAACTTTTCCCCAGTGAATGACAGCGTTTCTCTCTTTGAAAGGCATTCTTCTATAGGATATTTCAATTTCAATTAAAGATACTTCCAGTATTCCCGTAGTTTTTCGTTTTGTTTGTTGATTGATTCCAGATTGTTACATTTTTTTTCTTTCCCCACCAAAAAGACTCGGATAAATCTCCCGTTTTCTGGTGCAATTTCACTCAATCCCGTACTGAAATCAGTGAAATCTGTAAACTTGGCTTATATCGTTATACTTATAGTTGTTAGTCTAAACTTAAAATCTAAAACCCCATCGATTGCTCATTTTAACCATTTTTTTGGTGTTTTATGCTGGTAGCAAGAAAATTGTCAGGACATTCAAAAAATCTATTTAATTTGTTGAGATATTTTGTTTTCTTTTTTTGCTTTGACGAGTTTCAATCCATTTTGATACAGGTCCTCTCTTCAATGAGTGTTTTTCTTCATTTTAAAGGTTTTTAAGTTAAAGCGTTGAATTGATACGAGTTTAATAAAATTTCCGCATGCGGTATACATGCTAAAGAACAAATCACTGTAACCCAACAACAAATCAACAATAAAGCTGAAAAACAATCATACAACTTATGCTAACTATAAAACCTAAGTATTTACAAAAGTGAACAAAAGTTAAGCAGTAAATCCAGGTGACACATTCTCTTTCGACTGCATGTTTTTCATTATTTCACCCGCCTTTTCTGCGAATTCTTTTCCCTTCGTCTCATCTTTTTCGATACCGTCTCCGATTTTGTACATCCTAAAGCATCAATAAAACTTGAAACAAATATTATCTTTTACCTTGCTACATTTGCACAACTATAGGGAATATTTAGTTCACAAGCTTTAATTCCATAGTATAGAGCCTTCGACATGTTACGAGCAAGTGTTCCGAGATCGGCTTTTGAATCCTAAACCAAAAATTTTAAAAAGACAATAAATAACCTTATTGAATATTTATTGAAGTACCAAAATAAAATAACCTCTTTTCCTTTCTTTGCGTTGACGAATTTTTCTTCCCTGCCCATGTACCACGTTGACAATAACCAGCAAGCCTCCCCGTCTTCCAATTCGCAAGCCCTGTATATTACGGTGATCATTAATTCTATTTCTTAAAATTACTACTTAGCCATAAACTTTTCAGCCAATTTGCTATTCGCAGGTCGATCTTTTTCTCCATTCCAGTGCACCAAAGATAAATATCTTAACAAATACAATAATATTTTTACCACGTGACTTATAAACCTGCATCCTTTGTTGATATTGGCATCACAGGCTATTTCAAGTGGACGAATCATCTTTTTCAAATCGGGTTCACATTCTAAAAAGAGTATTAAAGTAAATATTATTAAAACGAATAAAATACTTACCTTTTCCTGCTAATAAATACATTGCATATTTGTAGCAGCTTTTTGGATATTTTCGTTCTTCGCAATTTTGCCGAAAAAGAGATAGCGCTGACTAAAAAGCATATTAGCTATGAAATCAAAAAAAAAATGCTAACCTTAAAATTTTGTTCAATGGCCTCCATATATTCACCTAGCAATTGACAAGAATCGGGTCGTTTTTCCTAAATTAAAATATTAATTAAATATTATTCATTTAAAATTAAATTTAAAAAAAACTACAACTAACCTCGTAGCATCCAAATCTATACTCGATTCCAATATTCTTCACATATTCCCGTCTTTCCTCTTGCTCGTTTTGTAGCTCATCGGATAGCTCTGTTGACATAGGTGACCGAACTCTGAAAATTTAAACGTTTTAACTTTTCACTTCAAAATTTTTTACCATAATTGTAGAAATATTAACGAGAAAAATACTATAGAGTCACGTGAAGTCGGCCCAATTTACCGAGAGCAACTTGCTCAAAAATGCAGAAAAAACATTGCCATGACGACGCAAAAAAGAATCCAGAGAATGGCTGTCAGGAAAAAAGACGAAAAGACAAGAAGCAATTAGGATTATCCACTGAAATCCCCCTTAAGCCTTCTTATTTCTGTATTTTGCTTGCCGCGAGTGCTAAAGCCACAAAATGGAAGAAAAAGGTAAGCGATAAATCGGATCATCTTATAAAGAACAATTTAGCTAAGCCAACGTACTCTATTTTTCGGACCGCCATTATAAAGGCGACACCCGACGATCTCAAATGCAAATTTTATTGTAATGGAAGTACCTGTAAATACTGTATCCCAAGAACTTCATCTCAAGATCATCAAGCTATAGAGGCATTGTATTCTGATTGGTAAATATTATGTATAACCCCTCTTTAAAAGGGCTGTCCCGTCCCACACAAAAATAGGCTGGGACTTTTATATACTAGCGGCAGTTTCACAAAACTGAATATCTTCACAAAATGGCCTTTCGCGGGGTATTTAAAGGTTCCATAGAATCAAAAACACCCTTGAACTTGCGTTTTTCTTTAAAACTGTAACGGCAACTTTAATTTCTAATGTCATATTCATAGTCAGGAAGTCAAAATACGTATGTTAAGTGCCATAGAAACCTGATTTGAGACAATTTCTATGTGGGACGGCCCCTTTAACTAGATTCAAGGGTTGCGCCAAATATCCTCGCCATGGCACGTCCATTAGCGGATCATTTCCAGCGCTTTGACCTGGAACATCATTTCAAGAGGTACCTTTAAATGCTAAACACTTCTAAATGAACACAGGGCCGGAATTCGAGCTGTCTTAAACCTTGAAGAACCAGGAGAGCACGCGCAATGTGGGCCCGGTCTTCTCCCATCGGGTTTCACATACGAGCCTGAATGGTTTATGAAAGCTGGAAGTGAGGCAAACATTTCAACTAAAAGCCTTAATATATTCAGTATATTACTACAATTTTCCGTTGCCTGATTTTGCGGCTTGCAGCACTACAACCATACAAGACATTGTCAAAGTTGCCTCTTTCCATCTCAACGAAGGTGAGCGCCACGTGAGTGCAAAACAATGGAACTATCTAGGGAAAATAGCTGTTCACTGTCACGCAGGACATGGAAGAACTGGAATGGTTATTGCTGCAATTTTCGTCTACCGGGAAGGAATGAGACCATCAAGTGCCGTTAGAAGGGTGCGAAAAATTAGGTACACTCTTGCTAAAAGCTTGATAAATTCCATTCTAGACCACAATCGGTCCAAAGTCATCCCCAAGTTTCACTACTGAACACCATGAAGCCGACCTTAACAAACGAAACTCTCAATAAAGTGGTACAACCCGAATATTGTGGAGTTGAGGAAGCAATCGAATTCCAACGAAATCTTCTCAACCCTTGTGAAGCTAGAAAGTTTGCTCACATTCCAAAGGTGTAGCCTTTTCAACCGACTAATAGTATGCTGTCTAAAAACTCGTTTAGATCGTTTGGACAACCTGCTATGAGCTACTCTCGCGATACTATGAAACTGTCAATATCCGAACAAAGCACTATGCTTCTACAAAAAGCTGGGCCGTCGATTTTGAGCTCAAAGACGAACATTGCATACCGTATGCAACGAAAAATCATATAACAAAAACAAACTTTCAGAGGTGACGACGACTTGATTTCTCCAGCATTCATCATCGGACTCCTAGATCGAAAAGAATGTAAAGATTTCACCAAATGGCTAGCCAAAGAGGAGAAGAGCTTGAACCTCGAAAATCTTGATCAAAAATTAAAAGTAATCAATTCAATTCGTGACAAGGAAGAACCTTTTTTCTAGACTCTGCCCATTGGACAACTTTTGTACCTACTTGGTGAGATCGAAACAAAAATAACTTTGAAATGAGCCATAAAAAGTTTAAAAGCACCTGTATCTCCACTTACAGATTTGCATATGCGTGAATACAAAAAGCTGTTGACCGAAAGTGATCTAATCGAAGTTTTGAGACGGAATCACTCAACGAAGACGATGAAGATTCTGAACGTATGTACCAAACAAAAATCAACTCATCTTTTTCAGGCCAACGAGTTTTTGTTTCTATTTTTACTGAAAACGTTCGGCCGCATTCTCAACAACTATCGCCCAGAATTGGCCTTTATCACTTGTCTATGGTGTACATGGTAAGTCCCACTAATCAAAATAGTTTATTTGAAAATTTCACGTTATTAAGAAATTTAAGAAATGATTTAAAACATTTATTCCTGCAAAATGTGCATAATCTCTGAAAGATTTAACGTTCTTTATTCATTGTTAACTCAAAGAACTCACACGAAAAAAATGACTCAATTTGGCACAAATAAAGGCTAAGAGGTCGTGGAAACAAAAAAAGAGAGATCACCCGAAATTAGCACATCACCGGTCACAAAAGAAAGAAAAAGACCAAATAGTGCTTGGATCTAATTTGAAAGGCTAGCAATGAGTTAGGTAAAAAGCTAGATGACGATGGTTTTTAAGCGGCTCCAGCGGCGCGTTCTTTCCTTAAGTGCTCGACAAAATTGTCCAGCAGCGTTGGCCATGCACCATCATCATCGTAGTTTGAAAGATTTGGGTTGATCTTCTCGAAGAATTCAAAAACGAGATTCCAAACATCTTTGGTGATAGCTTTGCTTTCCTTTTCTCGGAGGAAGCTTTCCCATTTGTCCAAGAGCACATAACGATCTTTGAAGAGAATTTGCCAATAGGTGATCGCGATTTCACAGTCCATGTTTCGTTGTCGCTCTGGCTTTCCGTAAAGGAAGGAGAATTGGTAGAGCTCTCGGAACTTGGCTCGATTGTTTTCCAGCTCTTTCTCCCAATTCTCCAGAGTCCCTCGGAGTTCGTCGATTGTGTTCACTCCAAGATCTTTGAATCCATTGTTCCACTCCTCAGTGCTGAACTCACATTGGGTCTTTGCCTTCATGAGCCAAGCCAATATCAGAACTCGCCGATCAGTAGCCTCAAGTCGAAGATCACTGAGCAGCTCGCTGACTCCCCATGGTCCAATCCTGTCCGGTCCAAGACCATCTTCTCGCTTGTTTGCGTAGCGCTTGAACAAGTCCCGTGCAGCAGAGGTCCGACGTGCATTGACCTTCTGTGGATTTTTTTGAAAATTGGTGACGTTTTGATAATAGTAGTCAGCCGCTCGTTCCAAATTCCAATTCGCCCTTGAGAGGCACACCCTGGCCGTTGACTCGTCAGTATTCGTGAAGCTAATAAAGTTGTTGATTTGCTCATGTTGTTGCCTGCTGGTTCGATCCATTTTTGGCACACCTAAATAAAACATTTAATGTTGTGATACAACTTAATATAGCTTATTTAGGCCGTGTGGTGCTATACGGATCGGGGGGCGCAAAAATTTTATATGCTAATTTTGCTTTTTGTATGCTAAAATTTGCAAGAGCTATGAAGATTTATGGAGCCCGCTTAAGCTTCAGACTAAGTGGCAAAACGGATTAAAGGGTGAGCTTTGGGACGACCACTACTCTGAAGTCTTGTGGAAGTGGCAGCATAATACTCAAAGCTTGATGTAAGAGTTCTGAGAACCTGTTGTTGATCGTTATCCTCTGATTTAAGTTGTCTTGTTGTTGCTAATGTTAATTTTAATTCATAGATGTTGTTAGAAAAGAAGGAAAAAAAGCAATTTTTTGATGTAGAACATAACCAGAAATAAAAATTAGCATATAAAATCCTAGGGCCCCCGATTCGCATCGCACCGGCCGTGTTTATAATAATTACAACCTTTTCAAAATTTTTCTTATGGAAACCAAAAGCTTTCATTTTTGCACAATGAGTAGGTTGGGTACTTTGATGGTTGGGAGGGGCCACTTTTATCCTGGCTTAGCTGGATCTAATGTTTTGAGTAGCTGTATTGATACCTTTTATCTACCTATTCTAGGGTAATCAAATATGCTTACACTTTTAGAGCCTTTACAACATGTTTCAAGTTTCATATTGCCACTTTTCTTTGATTTTCAAGTGTAAGCAGCTTTGAGGTGGCATTTGGTGGTTAAAGTACATGAGACTAGGCTAGAATTACCAGAAACTTGCTAAAATAGTCACCGATTTATTAACCATATTTGATTTCCATAGAGCAGATAAAATGTATGAATACTTTCAGAGTACCGCCCTAAAAAAACTTCTGTATCCCTGGAGCTCTCTAAGGTGCGGAGCCAAAGCCTGAGAAAACAGGCGAATATATTTAGAAAGTAAAACCTAATACACTAAAAAAATTACTCCAATGCATAAGTTTTTTAATTGAAAACATGTTAAAAATGTTTTTTTTTGTGGCCAGCGCCATCAATCACCGTAGATAAACTACATTTGGGAAAATTTTAAGTGCCCCTGCCCCCCAACTGCCTTAGCACCGAAACTTTTATATCATTTACTTTTACGCCAATTTGTATCCATATTTCTACATTTAAAAATAACGTCAAATGCAATTCCCCAGTTAAATTACGTCCAACGCTTCTCATTATAAATTAGCTTATAAAGCACAAAATAGTTTACCTTTAAAGCTTCAATCCAATCCGAATTCGTTAGTGTTCGCGTACGAAAGAGGGCAAGCTTCTTCGCGAGGTTGAAGCCTGAAATAAAACAGAGATTAACAATCGCCAATAGATAACGAGATTCAAAAAAAGAAAAAAGTGTTAAGACGTTTTTCCGGGGGAAGACAGAGGGAAAATTATAGGAATTGATGTCACCAAAAAGAAACGAGTCACTTTTCAAACGTCTGCTTGAACACCATCGGATTCCAGTAGCGTTTATCTAATTTTCCAGGAATTAGTCAAGCCCTGATCAATCAATAGACGCTTGATGAAGAGTGTGTGTGAAAAAATACGGGGAAACGGAGAGAAATAAAGAAATTGAACTGGGTGATTGTTGCAGGAAAGAGAGAAAGGGGTATATTGCGACCAAAAATGATGTGACCATTATTTCTTAACTCACACTTCAAAGAAACCTAATTTTTTTGAAATCAATAAGGATTTAAAGCTATTGAAGTTTTACTCCTGCAAAACCTTGGGTAATTAAAATGGTCACAAAATTTCGGTCCGGTGGAAATGAAAATAAGGAAAAAAGATTAACTTGGGATTATATAGTAGTGAAAGATTTAAAGATATTCAGCTAAGTGAAGGAGAATTTAATGGGATGATTTTTAGAATTTCTCTCTCAAACTATTAAATTTAGTTCCTCTCCTATCTCCGATGGAACAGCGGCCGAAGCGTTGAGTTATATGAGACAAATGGATCATTCAACCGGATAATAATCAAAGGATAATAATTTTTCCAATATCAACTATGGTTTTCCCAAAGAAAAGAAAGATTTCGTCTTTTTTTTTTCAGAAAACAATTTATTTACGCAAGAAAACAAACAAAAATCACGTTTAATTCGAAGAAAAATCGGAGTGCGGACACGTTTTGGCACCCGTATCTCAACGATAAAGGTTAGGGTGGATGTTTACAAGAATGATATTGGTGATATTCAGAATGGGATTATTTTGTTTGTTTATCAGGGCTATGGAAAGAGAACAGCTCGTGCACTTTTACAATACTAGATTAAATCCACATTTTAGTGTCCTCATTTCGACAGCATGTTAAAGGATCATCATTTAAAATTGTCACAAATTGAATCGACTTGCTTATCGACAAAGTTAGGAATTATTGAGCTTTAAAATCAACCAAAAGAACAGCTCGTGCACTTTTACAGTACTAGATAAAATCCACTATCAATATCGATAAGCAAGCCAATAAACCGATAAGATTAACCGATTAAAAAATCTCATGAAATCTCAAAGCCGAAATATCGAAAAGCTTGGCACCGATAGAGAAAAAAGGAATAAACATGTAAACAGACAATTCGCGAAAGACCCAAACAAATCTTCATCACCTTTGAATCAGTTGGGATTGAGGGAAAAAGGGAAGAGAGCGAGAGAGAAATAGAAAAAAAATCCCGTGATATTTTGGGGAGTGAGCAGAGTAAAATGATTTCTTAGAAAAGATCCAAACAATGTAAAAAAAATGGGATAACACGCGAGAATATTGACCTAGAAAGGGAGATTATATTTGGAAATTTGGGTAATTCTGACTGACTGACCCTACAAATTCATTTTCATTGAAAACAAGCTTGTTCAGACTATCAATATCGATGGTATCAATTGAAAAGAAGTTTGCTCAAGGGTTCAATCAGTGTAACCACGATTCCGAGAATCGCCTCCCTTCTCAAGTCACAAATAACACCGAGATAAATCTATAATTCCCTGTTAGTTAGCAAAAGAAAGCAATATAGAGAATGGCTTAAATAACGACTTTTTAGTGTGTGTTTTGAAAGCCTTTTAATCGATTTTGAAAGCTCTGAATCACAGAGAATCACCCGTCTGAACGTTTCGATCGGTTTTGTTTTGAATGGAAGAGATTGAAAGAGTCTCGAGCTATTCAGGACGAATTCGAGAAGTCTCGGTGATTCGAGATGTTGGCATATGAACAGCATAAACCTAAATACGATTATGAAAAGATTTCAAAGTTTTTGGATACTTGTTGAGGTCGAATATCAATAGGTATTGTTTGCTGGAGGGGCTCGAAAGCTGGCTCCCATCCCTCGCCCGGGTATTGGTGCGGGAATGCGTCATGGCTTCGGATAACTGAAATTCTTGTTTTATTTATTACTTGACTACTGTAAGCTTTTGTAACAGCTGATCTATATACCGTATTGAAAATTTTCATGTTCTCATTTGAAATTCTCACTATCAAAAAACTTACACAAATAAGGTGATTGCTCAATGGGTGCAGGTTGGGGTGTTGGTTGTAATATTTGTTGAACGGGTTGAATGAGTTGTGGTTGATTGAGATGTGGAGTATGACCAAGTTGAGATGGACCTGCTGAGTGGCCTGGTTGTAGGTGAACCTGAGAAAATATTGATTTTGTAATGTAAACTATCTTTTACTCATCAAAACAGGCATGTAATGGCATGGCTCTTTTTTGGTCCGTTTGCCGTTGGCAATTTGCTCGTACCTTAGCTGGGTTTGTTTGAAAAACGTTGAATTTGCTTTCATTTGACTTCAAATCAAATTTTCTATTGAATAAAGCAAATTCAACGTTTTTTCAAATAAAACTGACCAAGATACGAACAAAATTCGTAGATTGCCAACGGCAAATGGGCTGAAAAAAGGGGCGGAGTTAACATGATTGCTTCGAAATAATTATGGACTAATGGATTTTACCAAGTGTGGCGATTGAAGAGCGATGTAGCTGGTCATTCTGAAATATTATTTATTAGAGGGGTCTTGTTATTGATTTTAATGCTCAAGTTTCGAGAACCATAGATCACATACCGTGGTCGAACCGGTTGTGAAGCGTATCGATATTCTGTTCCATCCGCGCCGATCACTCGAATATCAGCCGTGAAAGCGATTGGAGCAGCCGCTGCTGTGGGTCGCGTTGTGTATGGGTACGCAGTTGGGCCTGGAAAAAAGGTTATTGCCTCAAATATTCTAGTTCTTAACATATTTCATACCGATCAACATATATGCCTTTGTAGGGTTTTCGGGGACGGGGAATCTATAGTCCTACTATAGTCTAGAATTAGTATTAGTTAGAGCTAGCTGGACCTCTAATTGGTAGATTCCAATTGTTAACTTAACAAAATAAATAGCACCAATCGATTCCCCGTCCCCGAAAACCCTACAAATTTACGGCTTAATGTCTTCTACAAAGCAAAGAAATCCCTGTAAATGACTGGGGAAATGTTCTCTGTGCGGCCGTGTAATCGCTCGCCTTCTGGCAAAGACCTCTGGTATAGGGTGCTTTCCAGTCAACTAGCCTTGAGCTAGAAACTACTGTGACTTCATTTCCCACCCTGCAACGACGAAGCAACAGCAGCCTGCGCAATTGGAGCCATTCCATTGGACGGTAAACCAGCATTCGCCCACTCCTGCTCTCTTCCAACAACCTAGAACATTTATGCGTTTCATTTTCTTTTCAATTCCCACTTGAAATTGTTGTTGCGAATAAATGGATGATGGTGGATGAACCAAAACAACGGCTGTTGATCTCTGAGATTTGTTTTCTTTGAAATTGCTTGCATTTGTTACCGGTAATTGCGGCTGTTGGAAGTATAATTTTCTGGGTTGGCCACCAGGTCTAAAATTGTAATTTGAAAAGTGAAATAATATAAAAGTAGAGTTGAGTCAAATGAAAACTCACGCAGCAGTGATGAGCGGGACTTGCGGTTGTTGGGGAGTGTTGGTGGAAGAAGATGGAAGCTGTGGATGAGCGGTCATTGGACGAGCGAGTAATTGTGGAGATTGCCCGGTTTGCGAGAGATGAGATGCATGCTGGATGCCCGGATGAACCAATTGAAATGATGTCTAAGAAACGCATGATTTGATACAGTTTTTTCAATTAAAATGATAAACTATAGACTCACCGATGGTTGCGAAAAAGTGTGAAACGTTTGAAGCGGTGATTGATGAAGAGGTTGAGGGAGAATTTTGGGAAGTGGACGGGAGTGTTGAGTGGTTGATGAAGTAGACGGGGCATCGAACGGAGTAAGTTCAATCCCATCCAAGTCAGCCAAATCCACCATCTCATCCTCAAGAGCATAGGCATCGATTTGTGGGAAGAGCACTGGTGGCCCATCATCGACATCATCTGAAAAAGGATTATTAGAGATCACTTTTTTTGACAAACCAGCTGGTCCCGACGACGATGTTGCCTCTTCTTTTTCCTCATTTTCTGGTTTTTCAAGGATTGGAGCCGATCCCTCGCGTCTTTCCTCACATGTTCGCTCTGAATACATTGGCTCAGTGTGATTACTGTCCATCGAGTTTCCATCCTGAAATTGTATTAGTGAATAGATTAAGGTTATAAATCTTACATCAAAATTCGGTGATATAGCGGTGATGACTCTCGACGTGGAAACACTTGACGTCTCTTTCTTCTCTTTCTTCGGAATCTCTTTGAGTTCAGCTTTTGATCGAAAAGTGTGTGATGGTTGTTGTTGTGCTGGTGGGACTGACTCTTGAGCTGGTATTGCTGGTGTCGGTATCAGAGATGGCTGTCCCTTCATACCCTGTGATGATTGTGGCCTTCTATTCTCTCCATCATCATCATCTTCATTTCCCTCATTTCCTCTATTCCCCTCTTCCTCTTCATCATCATCGACCGTCACAATTTCCATGGGTTTCTCCACAAAATGCTCATTGATTGGTGAATTGGTTGTCACGTCGATCATCTCATCTTCACTCATTTCTCGTCGTCTTTTTACCACTGGACCCAAATCGACTGAATGCATTGGGGAGCTGTTTCGACTCATCGACGATCTGAAAATTGATTGATAGAACAAGAAAACTAACTAGGGAACTAGGGAACTAGGGAACTAGATTAACTAGATTAAATAGATTAAATAGATTAAATAGATTTCCGAACAAAAGCTATTAAATTGATTGAGCAACTTGCGCAAGTTATACAGCTTTGGTTCAGATTCGCGCTGACCGTTCCCTAATAAGACTTGGACTTGTTTTCTACATTGAATTGGTTTAATTGCATAGTTCAGCGCCTTATAAGTACCTAGATTTATATTGAAACCCTTCTAGACCTAGATCACCTACTTAACGAACTCAACTGTACTTGTTCTAAACTCTTCAAAGTCATCCAGTGTGCCAGAACTAATTCAAACTTTCAACAAAGGCTTTCATCCGCTTATTTTGAGCTGTCGAAATAAAAGTGTTAAGTATTTTGAAGTTCAATGTATTAACAACTTGCCCACATTTGATAGACCTTCAAGAAATAATCTCAAGAATGACACTCACTTCTGCATCTCCAATTGACATTGTTGCGGAATCTCAGGCATTCGACTCGCTTTCTCAACTTTCTCAGCGATCGACGGTCTATCAAAGAAACGATTTCTCATCGGGAATTTCTCAGATTGTTCTTGATTTATTTGATTCATTTTGAATGTCGGCGATTTTCTTTCAATCATTTCGTCTAATGAATCGATTTTCGGCTCAATCCGGAAATGTCTAAAATCAAAATATTATCATGAGAGCATGTAACAGTTATCAAAATGTTCCAAAACCTCACCTCCTCGGTTCCTTGATCAACTCCACTTCTTCAATATCAAGCAAAGATCGCATACTAGAGTTTCTGAAAGTTAAAGATGTTTTCAAAATTTCCCAGTACACATGCCTGGTTCTTCTAATGAATTTCTCCATTTTCTTGCTTCTCACAGGATCTCTCTGTTCGAGATTTGGCACAGGTAATGGTTTTACTCGTATTGGAACCTGGAATAAAGATATTTAGATTTAAAAAATTTATATTTTAACCGGTGATCGAGATTTCGCGCGACTTGACGAAGTCGACGCAATCAGATAACAGCCAAGCATTTTCTGTTTTTGAAATAAATTTTGTAACTGTTTTAATTCTTACAGCGGTTCTTGGCGATCGACTTTCTTGTGGGGGAGGTGGAACTGAAGAAGATTGAGTAGTTGTGGTAGTTGAAGAAGTTGGTCGAGGGATTGTTGGGGGTGATGGGGGACGAGGTGGGAGGACAACTGGTGGCTCTACAATAGCTGATGATGAGGCTGGTGGCTGGGAGTCCGTGAAACTCGTCTCTCTGTAATATATTTGTAGAACTACACCATTGAGATTTCTAATCCATTCCATTTCTTTACCTGCTCCGAGCGGCTCGCTTTTGCTTCTGTCCTTGCAGTCGAACTTTCAACTTCAGCAATGACTCTTGTTCTGAAAGAATTACAATCACAAATGATAACATTTCAGAAAAAAAATACCAAGAATATCCGATGAATTCGAGTTATCGGTTGGTGAAGAAGAGGATGGATGATCGGAGTGATTTGAAGTTGATGGAGAAGCCGAACAAGCGGATGAAGTTGAAGCTGATGATGATGTAGGCTTGGGAAGAGATATCATCGAGGGGAGATGGCTGGAATTTTGAAGGGTTGGGTAATTGAACCGAAATGACTTCAAAAGGGGACACCTATCTAGCGAGAATGTGTGCCAGACGGCAAGCGATTACGAGACCGCACAGAGAACACCAAGCACTTTACAGTGAATTTCTACTATAGGGGTCGAACCCGGGTCGTGTGCGCGTGAGGCGAGCGCCCTATTCACTGCAGCACGGGTGCAATTTGTACTCTAGCTGAAATTTCCATGGTGAGGTTTTCTCACACAGGGATTTCGTCTCTGGCAATCATTATTAGAGTGTGTTCCTCACAAGTAATAGCTTTCTATAACGCGCTCTCTATAATATTCAAAGGCAAAATTTCAAGATATTCAATATTGTTAAATGAATATCTTGAAATTTTGCCTTTGAATATTATAGAGGGCGCGTTATAGAAAGCTATTACTTGAGAGGAACACACTAATCATTACGATTTCTAAAGCAGCCCGCCGTTAAGCAGGCTGTTCTACTGGTAAGATTTAATGTTAAAAATTTGTGCCTGAGGGTTTTCAGGGTCACAGAATCTATTGACAAAGTTTATTTTAATCCTTTGTCTCAAGAAAAGTCTCAAGAAAATCGAATTGGCTTTGGGTTTTGCATATGATAGCTTGAAAAGATTCGTATTTTATTTAAAAGACCTAGATTTTCGAGAAGAACTGAAAGATCTAGTACACCAGAAAGTATGCGTTTAGATTTCTAGCTCAGTAGTTGATCATGAATCATGTTGATCATGTTGATGATGATCAGTAGTTGATCATGATCATGATCTTGTTCATGATCTTGTTCATGATCTTGTTCATGATTTTGTTCATGATCTTGTTCATGATCTTGTTCATGATCTTGTTCATGATCTTGTTCATGATCTTGTTCATGATTTTGTTCATGATCTTGTTCATGAGCTTGTTCATGAGCCCGTTCATGATCATGTTCATGATCTTGTTCATGATCTTGTTCATGAGCCTGTTCATGAGCCCGTTCATGATCTTGTTTATGATCTTGTTCATGATCACTTACATGAATCGCTCCATTGACTGTTGAATGTCTTCTTCGCATATGTATAGCAACGGCTTCTTTCTTCAGAAAACGTTTGCACTTCTAAACATTTTCTCGTTAATTTGATTACTTTTTAGCATAATGTAACATTTAAATATTCACCGGACACTTGTAGATGGGGAAATTGTCATGACTCGGACGTCGAGAGAAGAAATGAACATCTGAAAGATTGAAAGAATATTATTGAAAGTCTTTCACTGACAAACCCGGTCCAGTAATCACTCCAGAATATATTTGCACTTTCTCGATTTCTCTGAATATTTTTACAGTTACAAATTTTCCTTTTTCATTCAAAAACTTCTCATTTTTTGACGGCTTTATCTCATCTAATCGAGCAAAAATCTCCGTCCAGCTGGCACCCTGGAAATTGTTTGATAATTTTGATAAAAATTATTGTTTAACAAACTCATCTCATCACTTCTTTTTCAAAATCTATCACTAACCGGCACTAAAATCTTCTTGATTTCATTGAGTAATCCATTTTCCTTCATTGTCAATGTTGACAAGAGTACATTGCAAAATTTGTGATGATCCTTAATAAAAAAAAATAGAGAATAATGACAATTGAAAGAATCAATTACATAGAAATGAAAAAACAATGAAGAGTCTAAAAGATTTTAAGAAAAATTGGTGTTTTTTTCTGGGACGTCGGTTGATTCATAAGTGATCAAAGAGAAAAAAAGAAGAAGAAGAGAGGAAAGGCGCCAATTTAAAGATGATAGGGAAGAGGGGAAATGATGAAAAGAAAGGGAAAGAGGTGGATAGAGAAGAGAAGAGGAGAACCCTCGCACTGATCTTTTCTCTGTCTTCTCTTCACTTTCCTCTATCCATCTCGCTTCATGGTGGGCCTATTTCTGAAAAAAAAAGAGGGACACAAGACTCAGCTGACAGAAAAGACGAGAGTGCAGATGGGAAAAGAGAAGAACACTCGATAGTAAGCATCAACGTGTGCGGGCTGTAGAAATCTCTTCATTTGAGATGATCTATCAATGGTTCTGACTTGGGAAAAGGAGATGAGAAAGCGAGAGAAAAGAGGAAAAGAGAAAGAAATAACCAGACAACAGCTATCCCTCTGCGTGGCTGACACGCGATGCGGCCTCGCATAGACACTTTAAGAGGCAATGGAGGGAGAGAGTAAAGGGAATGGAGAGACATAGAAGAAGAGAGCTCGAGAAACAAACTACCCGCTAAATTCTCCAAGGGTTATTAATTTTTCGAGGAAAAGGGGTGAAAAATATGTTGAATAAGATGAAATAAGGAAATGGTTTGATTTGGGGAAAGATGGAAGATTCGGAAGAAGTTTGTTGAAAGGGAAATGAATGAGAAAATGGAGGCAGAGAGGGACACAGATACAGATAGCACACCGTGAGCACAGCACAAATCAGAAAGAGGGAGGAATTGGAGGGATTGGAAGGGTGAAGGGGAGAACAAGGGCTTCCTCTCCCACTTGTTTCCCCTTTCTTTCATGCTCAGCTGATTGCAATCCCCTCACGGGAATCCTGAAAAGAGACATTTAAAGAAATGAGCCAACAAACACCCCATAGATCGCGTAAACAACTCTGTTGTGTTTTTCACACAACAAAACAAGCAAGAAGAGGAAATGCCATGGAAAGAAGAAGATTGAATCGCCTAACGGGTAAAAAGAAAACCTTTAGAAAATTAAGTTTTGCTTACTTAGGATTTTTCGGGATTCCTTTCAAATCATGCGTTTTTTGAAAACGCGCCAAAACTTTTATAACTGCTGTAATTTTTTGTTTAGCTTTTATAACTGCTGTAATATTTATAACTACTGTAATTTAATCTCGATTGTTCACTGATTACCTGATTTCTGTAAGAGAAATTAAAAGTTGTCAAAAGAAATCAAAAGTTGATAGATAGTTTGAATAAAATAGAGACAAAAATTACGGTAACTTGCGAGGGTTACGATAGCTTTTGCGAAAGAAATGTGGGAAATTAAGATTTTGCTGTAAATATGTATATGTTTATTTTTATAATTTTACCCAATGATCCATCGATTCACGGCCGGGTAACTCATTTTACGCCTTCTCAATGAGAGATTTGCTTTGGTGGTGGAGAAATGGTGGAGAATCGAAGAATGTCTAGGTTTATGGCTGCCCCACTGAAAAAAAAGCCTGACTGACGACTGACGGACTGACTGACTGACTATGTATGACTGACTGACTGACAAAAAAGACTGACTGACGCTTAGAAGATATTCAAGCAACGAATTGAAAACTTTAAAATAATTGAGCATTTTAATAGCAATTTTCGAATCGGCTATTCTGTTGAAAACATTTGTTCGCTAACCTGCGTTTTTTTTAATTACCTAGCACTATTGCTCTCCTTTTTCATACTTTAACCCAGTACCTGCTCTAAAATGATTCGTAACTTTGAACCAGATTCGAGGAAAGTTTCCGGCTTTACTAGTAAACTTTTACTGCTCTTTCGTTGATAATAGCCGATTTTGTTGGCGATGAGTTTGATCTAAACAACGTAGAATTGCCATTTATTTTCTCGCTTGTTAAATCTTTTTAACTTTCTGTTATCAATGTTTTTATTTTTCGAGCAAACAGAACTTATTGCTTCTCTTTTTTAGATGCCGAAACGAACTAACGAGCCGACGTTTGATCAAGAACATGGGTGGCTGTACAAGAAACAAAAAAGCGACGATGTTGATCCACGCGCCCCTGATCCCTCGAAAGTCATCCACATACGTAACCTCCGTCCTCAGGTGCTGAAACATTAAACTTATTTCAATAACATTTTTTCTAGGCGACCGAAGGAGATCTCGTTGAAGCATTCAATCATTTTGGCACCGTTGCTTATTGCATCTTAGTCCCTCATAAACGACAAGGATTGGTGGAATTTCTGGTTTTTTTGTTTAGCTTACTATCATTTATTCTTTACAGGAAATTGAAAGCGCGATCAAGACCATGGATTATTTACATACGGGTGGCCAAGTTGTTGTTCTTAATTCTCCAGTTCTCGCCAATTACTCGTTAGTTTTGTGGCAAATATTAAAAATATATGTTTAGGACAAGCGCAGCAATCGAGCGAATTGGCTTTGAAAGTGCCACTCCTAGTCACGTGCTTGTGTTGAATGTGAAGAACATCCAAGATAATCATATTGATGCCGACATCATCCACAAAATTACTCATCCCCATGGAGCCGTTCAAAGAATTGCAGTTGTTCGTCGTAATTTCGGAGTCTTGGTAATTTTTTAATGCAATTTGTACCAGCCTTGAAAGTCTTATTAAAAGTCGGTTTCTAGGCTTTGGTCGAATTTGCAACTGTTGAAGAAGCCACACGAGCAAAGTATGCACTCAATGGAGCGGACATTTACTCGGGCTCTTGTACCCTGAAAATTGAATATTCAAAGGTATTGTTTGTCCTCACGTATTCTATTAAAGTTTCTATTTAGGAAGAAAGTGTAAAAGTTAGGGCTAATGACGCTGATCATCGAGATTATGTAAATCCAGGTGCTCCTAGCTCATAGAATAACTCGAGATTTGACTATTTAGAAGTCCCACGGCAAAAACCGCCTTTACTAGATTCAACCAATTTCTTCAACACTTCTGGGTTTGTTCATTTTTAATTTTTGTATTCTATCCACTTCTTTAGACCCTTTCAAGCACTGGATGCTGTTGGATATCAAAATATGCAAAGGAGATTTAATATACCAACAAAGCGTGGGTGAAACCTAAAGTGTCTGGATTAATTTTGCTTTCATATTGGGAATTTTCTCATGATCCGCATATGAACAATGATAGAAATAATTAGCACAATTTTTTTCCGGCTTATTCAAAAATGAATGGAAATCAGACTAGTCCAGGCTTATCCTTATATTTTCCAAAAGTCTCCGTATCAAGTTGCTTTTTTCAAGAACGCTTCGGCTTTTACTACCCGATTGGAGACAGGACCAATGACTACTCGGCATCCTCCTCGGAGACATGGAGACAGGATACTCGGTCCGACTACGCACATTCTCCTCCAACTCTCGTTGATAGAGGATCAGTTGTTATGGTTAGCTAATTGCAGCCTATATGCTAAATAGTTTTATTTAGGTATATGGACTTGATCATACACAATTCACTTGCCAAATTCTATTCAATCTTTTCTGTCTTTATGGAAATGTAAACAAAATTCGCTTCATGAGGCGAAAGACAGATACTGCTATGGTTCAAATGGAAAATAGTGTACAAGTAAGTTACCTAGTTTCGATTTTTGAATTCGATTTGCTTTAGGCATTGACTTTGGTACGAAACATGGATGAGGTCGACTTATTTGGAAAGACATTACAAATTCGTATAGCAAAGCAGAATGAGGTTATTTTTATTTTTTTGCATTGATCTTGCTAAAAAAATTTAGGTGATTCCCGATCCCGATCCTTTTCAGTTGGAAAAAGATCTTAGTCTCTCGTTTGTCGATTTTACCGGCTCTCGTTTGCAAGTTTGTCTTTTTTTTTAATTTTACGACGCAACGATAAGTTTAGCGATATCTAACACCTGAATTTGCAAGCCGAAATCATCCAATACGCCCTACAGATACATTGCACTTCTTCAACGCACCACCTACAATCACAGAAGAAAAGCTTTATGCGGTATGTCACCTTGATAGTACTAGATTACTACATATTTCCTTTTTAGATCTGGAATGATGCGGCTGCTCCATGCCCACAAGTGGTTCACATAAATGCGGGAACGAGTAGAAAAAGTATTTTCGAATGTAGTTATTCCATTATTAATGGATTCCTTTAGGTGTAAGCGGATTCATCAAATTTGAGCAAGTGACGCAGGCTACCGAATCGTTGGCTCTCGTGAACCACACTCCTATTCACACCGATCACAAACTTCCGTGGATCTTGAAGCTCGGTTTTTATGACGGCGATTTCTCAAAGTTTCGCCCCATCAAGGATAAAGAAGTTTGAGGTTTCATTGCAGACTGCTAACGACCAGACTAGATGCATGGATTCAGAAATTTCGGTATTTACATTAATTTTGTCAATTATAGTGTCCACGCCTGGGTTATATTTGGCCCTATTAGATTTGTGTTCGTTTTATTTATACTTTCTCTAAGCTTGGATGCTTTTAATCGCCTTAATAGGATGAGAATTACGCCTGTTGAATTTGAGGCAATATTTTGATGATTTTGTCAGTTTATATGTACCTACCTAGTTGAATTTACTCAAAGTTGTTATAATAAAGTTGTTGATCTTTTCCAGTTTAATGCGACAGTGAATGTATACAGAACATTTAATTACGGCTGAAATTCGTTACTGCAACAGAAAAATGAGGGCAATTGGTGTATCATGTAGTTTCTAAAGAGTTCATAAAGAGCTGCTTTCATAAGAAAAATCTAATTTTACTTTTGACAACGTCTCTACTAAAAAAGTTTTATTGCTATTTTGATTTCCGTATTTATAGATCGCTCCCTCACCAATGTTGGCAAGACGATCAGTACAGAGAGCGTTATGTTACCAAAAGGCTGCTACTTTGGAAGCTTCTCATTCGAAGGGCTCTGAAGAGCGACCAAGCACTACTCAATTGATAAACGAAGTCAAGTCCTTGAACGTAAACACAGGAACCAAATCTATTGTGCAAGTGGAAATTGCATCAACAAGAAAAATTCCACGGATTAAACAGTTATGGAAACTTCCTCAACAAGCAGCAAATGGGCTACGAGAGGCGCTTCTGGCCACAAATCATGAGCCGAAAATGCTACAAAATGAAGCCGATCAATTGGCAGAAAAGTTGAAGAATCGTCATTTTCCTCTGCCGACCGAAGTTCTTCGCGATATTCGATATGAGTTTCGACGATCTCTCCAAAGCAAGAGTAAAGACGAACGAGTCACGGGTGATGATCTTAATGTGTCGGATGAAAAGAAAAGTATGCGCAAAAGGGTTGAAAAAATGATGAAACGAGCCGATTTCAACTGGAAACCACTTGACATTCAAGATAATCAGTCTGCCGTTGTCTATGCCCTGGCTCGTCTCACACCAAACTTTGCTGAGATCTCTCGGATCTTGGCCGAATTCTCGAGAATACCCGATTTTCATCCCGAAACAGTGCTCGATTTTGGGTGCGGGGCGGGTTCAGCTTTTTGGGCTCTTCATGAACGATTTGGCATGCAAATCAAGGAATACACTTTGATCGACTCGAGCGATGCCATGACGAAGATCGCTCTTGATATTATGCGAGATGAAGAATCAAAATATCCAAACAAGCTTGTTCATCCAAACGTCAACTTTAGACGTCATTTTCTTCCATCATCCAGCACGAAATATGACATTGTTATTGCGCATCGTTCTCTTGTTGAAATTGGATCTCAAGAAGCAAGAATGGAATTGCTACTCCAACTTTGGAATCGCACAAATCGTTTTCTGATTTTAATTGATGATGCAAAAGAGGATGGGTTTTCTGCGATTTTGAACGCCAGAGATTACCTTTTATCTGAAGGGCAACGACTTCATCTCAATGAAACTATGAAAATTTTGAATGAACATGGCTTGTGGAATGAAGATTTGGGCAAAATCCTCTTCGACAAAAACATTTCAGAGTACGAGAGATGGGAGCTGATTTGTGAAAGACTTCCGAATGGAATGATCCCACCAACAGCTCTTCCACCGGCTACAGTTTTTGCTCCTTGCCCACATGACCTGGGATGTCCAAAAGCGGATAAGGGCGTATGCTCACTCAAAATTAAATGGGAAATTTTGCGTGCCGATGAGCGACAGAAAAGCAAACAACGAGACGGGCTTGAAAATGGCGCAATTTCGTATGTGATTATGGAAAAAGCAATCCGGGCTGTATCGCCAAAAGCGCCAGCTCTTGGACGTATTATGACGAATGTTCACGGATCCGGTCATTCAACTTGTGAATTGTGCACAGCATACGATGGATTACAACGCTTTACGTTATCGAAAAAACACGGCGAGGTTTATCAGAAGCTGAAGGTTCGAAATTCTGGTGACCTATTACCGCTCACATTTACCAAGCTCTCCAGCGAGGATCCGATTCCAAAATTTGAATGATTTCCTTTGTTTCTAGTTGTTACTATACTTTTTTGCAATAATTTATTGTTATTGTTTGTTTTTGTTTCAATGTTTTGATTCTTGTTCAATTTTTCATAGAGAACTTTAGACAACCGAGATGGGGAAGACCATTACAAATGCAACGCCCCTCGTTCAATATCTACTGGATCTAAACGCAAGAAAATTGTTGGCAGGATCGTTCCCTGGGCGTATTCTTGAAGATAAAAATCATTTCACAGCGCTCAGGTTGGTTATTTTTTGAGACTCTGCAACAAGTTTCATGTCATAAACCATTGCACTAATTTTGAATTTTTAGCTCGCTACCTTCTGTGCTTTATGCTGGATTTGATCCCACCGCGAAGAGCCTTCATATTGGAAACCTACTTGTGATCAACAATTTATTGCGTTCGACGAAGTTTGGTTGTAAAGCCCTTATGCTCGTTGGTGAAGCCACTGCATCAGTTGGAGATCCAAGTGGTCGCGCAAAAGGTATAAAGATATTCCTTTTTAAAAGTCTAACTAACACTATTCAGAACGACCGATGGCTGATCAAAATATAACTCGAGATCAAGCCGGATTTATATCAACGACGTTATCAAAGATCGCTGATAATTGTATGGTACTTTCAAAATCGCCTGGTTCTATTTCATTGCATAATAATGCAGAATGGCTCACAAAGGTGTCTCATAATTTTATAACTATAATCCGGGAAATTCAGATGAATGCAATCGATTTTCTTCGAAAGTGCAAACCATTTCGCGTCGGAGCGATGCTGAGGACTGGTGCTGTAAAGAGTCGAATGGAAGGCGAAATCGACAATGACGGGATCTCGTTCACAGAATTCAGTTATCAAACCCTACAAAGTATTGATTGGCTTCATCTGACAGAGCGCCATGATTGCTTTTTTCAGGTCCGAACTTGTTGTTCCGAATTATTTAAACCAGCAGTTAACGCCGCGGTTAACTGCTGATTTGAGCCGACGCACAGTTCACATGAGTCAAACTTTAGTATTAATTGTTGGCACATTTACTACTAAAGATGAATTTCAATAACTAAACTGACAAGGGGTCCGAAGTTAAGGTGACCGTTTGGGATGAGTGATACCTCATTCGATAAATGCCATGATGAACATTGATGACCAAAAAAATTAGCTGCCGAAAGCAACTCTACAACGTTTTTCCAACCTTACTCGAAAACTGTTAAAGATTTTTCAATTCTGATTTGATAGGCCAAACCGCTGCGGTCAATTACATATTGTCCCCAAAAATCAGCACAAAACCTTTATTGGGTCTTGAGTTATGAAGTGAGCGGACGCACACACACAGACACACCTCTTATAATAAGTAAGATTGATTTTCATTTAGATAGGAGGTTCAGATCAGTTGGGACATCTTGACCTTGGGGCTCATTATATTCGAAAACAAACTGGAAAGTTTGCCGCCGGAATAACGTTACCTTTGATAACAGATGCAAGTGGGAACAAATTGGGAAAATCGACCGGAGCATCCGTATGGCTTTCTGATCAAATGTGCGTTTTTTCTGTTAAATCTCAGAAACATTTGTAGTTAAGGACGACGGCTTTCCACTTTTACCAGTTTTGGAAACAATTGCCCGATGTTGACGCCGAACGTTTATTGCCAATGTTTACACTAAAATCAATGCCAGAGGCAGGTATAAATCATTATAAATCTCTTAAGTATTAGTTTTATTACAGGCTGAAGTCGTTTTAAAGGAACACAAGGAGAAACTCGGTAAATGGATAGCTCAAGAAGCACTAGCAAATGAGATGACAATGTTGGTACATGGACAAGAAGGACTCGATAAAGCACTTGCATGTTCGCGAGCATTATTTCAAAGTAATTATGACTCCAGAATAAAAAAAGACAGTGTTTATCATATTCTAGATTCGACTTCAGATCTTCATTCGCTTACACAAAATGAGATCCTAGCACTTTTTGGTGAAAGCTTGAAAATCCAAAAAGAGCGGGCAAAGACTATCGGCGAGTTTGCAGCACAAACAAGGAATGATGGCAAACCGACTGAAAATCTAGTGAAAAGTGGAGCCTTTAAGGTTTGCGTTGCGCAATGAACTTAAACCTTTAAAGTTATTTAAAGGTTAACGGAGTGCGACGAGGTGACCCTGAAGAGAAAATCGACCATGGAAGTTTAATTTTGGGAAAAACGAAGAATCTTACGCTGATATGTTGGGGGAAAAGAAAATTCCAGCTAATCGAATGGACGTAAACTGTGTATTGTGTATATTGTTTTATCATCAGGTTATTATTACTATTATTGTTTTGCTTGTTGAATAGGATAAATACTTTATTTAGGAAACATTAATGGCATAAAACACAATGAAATATCAATTCTACACTAGTCATTTACAATTGACTGTTTTTACTTGAGATCCTCGTAAAAGTTAAAACAAAACAGAAATTATTCAATTGATTCCACTTTCAAGCACTCGTTGATCGATACAAATTATAGGTTCAAAGCTTAAACAACCAGTATACACATGTTGCCACGTTATAAACTACCTGTGCGTGCCTCGTCGGCAAAATAGCGTACATCAAAATCAGTGTCACCACCAAGTTGACTCAGAATTGGTTTGATTTCACTTTGAAGCACACTAAAACCGATAACTAAAGTTAGAGGAGATTAAGGTTTACCTGGGGCTGACAATTTTTCCAATTCTGACCAGAGACTTTGCTACGTTGAAGCGGACATTTGGAACGTTGTCGTTAGCCAACTAAAGTTTGAATATAGCATGAAGTCTTGCCAAAAGCTTTACCTGCTTGACAATAGGCAAAACATCAGCAACAGTTTGATCATTTCCAACAGCTTCACTCAATCCAGTTAACATCGATAGGGCAGTCTGTCGATGGAGATAATTGTTGTCCTTGGACAATTGAACCGCCTGAAAATAACGTAAAAGAGGGCCGTAAGCTTTTTTTAAACCTTTGGGACGAGAGTTCGCGTTGCCCATTCACCACCAAACTTCTGGGTCAATTGCTTGAGCGTGTTCGTCGCGGCCTCACGAATGGCATGAACTAAAAATAAGTAACAAGTTGGGTATGCAATGGTTTATTTACCATGATCTGTGAGCCAAGTCATACACAATGGAAGCAGTTTCTCGTCAAAGAATTCGCGTCCCTAAAATGACACTTGTAATGTATGCAATGGAGGTATGAATTACCAATTGTTGTGCAAGTAGTGGCATCAGCGTAACAAGAGCCAAACGAACACGCCATTTTCCATCTTCACCAAGCTCGATTACAGCAGGAAGTACTTCATCTCGCATCATCGAAGCTCCAATCACATCGCTCACCTAAATATTCACAATACATAGCAAGATAGATGGGTGGCAAACCTTCTCCAAGCTTGAGATGATATTGAGACGAACTTCAGCAGTCGAGTCGCGCAACATGGCAGTGTAAATAGGCAGAAGATGAGTCTCAGTGACTTGCTTGCCAACAATTGGTCCCAATCCTGAAAATTTACGCATTGTAATAAGTAGCGGACAAATTAAACGCACCCATGATCACCGAGGCGAGTTCCCCTTTCACATGTTGATTTTGATCGGAGACCAACTCTTTAATGACGGGAAGAATGTGGTTGATGATTGCTTGCTCCCGAAAGGCTTCTGGGAGTGTCTTGCAGAAACCTAAACATTTCTTTGATGGAGCAATTATAAAATCATTCCAAACCTTCGATGCGTTGAGCAGCAGCTCCGCGAACTTCGCCTTCAGCATCTTTCAAGAGATTCGTAAAGTAGCCGACCAATTCGTTGACCGTGCTTTCATCCATTCCACCCAATGCGTTTTGTAACTAAACGCTACCATAGACTCGATAAGAATAAAAAAATTACCTCGACAAATTTCTCTGCAACCATGTAGCGAACACGCCAGCTTTTATCTTCAATCAAAGCAACAAGGGCTGGTTTCACATGTTTAACCATGTCGGCTTTTGGAATAACTGACGACATTGCGATACAAGCCTCGACCATCAAAAGACGAACAGAATCCTAAACAAAATGTTTCAGTAGCCGGTTATTACACAAAGTACTTGTTCATCGATGACCAAATCGAGGAACATTTGATTGTATTCTTCAACAATTGCGTCTTTTTCAAGAACCTAAATCAGATGTTCTTGCTGAACATTATAAAAATCAAACTTTGGCAAATTCGCCCATTTTAGCAGCCGCAGCTCGGCGCACCATTGGTGTGTCATCACGGCAAAGTTGACGATACATGCTAAGCAGAATGCTTGTCTTGAAAACGTTTTAAATTTTACTTTCTTAATTCAGCTTTGACGGCAGGTCCAACTCTGGGGTAACAGACACTGAAAAGCCCACAAGCTGATGAACGAGAAGTAAACCAGTCACCTAAATATTTGAATTTTGCTTGACAAAAATATATTTTCTACCAGTAGCCAGACGTTTAACCATCGGGATAAAATGCTCTTCAAGGGCAGCAGAGCTATGTTTCTCGGCAATTTTTCGAAGTGATTCCACAGCCTGGATTAAAAAATATCCGTGAAAAAACATTTAAAAACAACCTTATCTCGAACAACAGTCTCTTCAACAGTAGCCAGATTTTCCAGTGGAGGAAGTAAACAGTGGACGAAATCAGCGCCGCCGACCTATAGATAATAATTTATCTTGGAAAAATATAAAGACAACTCACGAGTGGTGTAAAGTTTCCAAGCTGTTCGGCCAAAACGAGCAAAACTTCATCTTCATCATAAATCGTATCTAAAAGTAAATGGATGAAGTGAAATGTATGCAATGAAAGCGAAAAGTTTGCGTAACCAGAATTTCATCATTGTTATGCCCTCGTTTAAAAAGCAAGAAGAAAAACTGCTCACCTGTGAGAAAATGTATGAGCTCATTGCGCGTTCGCTCAACACCGAGTGCAAGAGCGATCGTGCTCAGCTTTCGAATCGAATTGAGACGCAGTTGCACATCTTCATTACGCAATTCGTCAATCAAGACGGCGATTGGATACAAGCTTCCGTTCTCCGTTTCTTCCACGTTCGTGTCCATAACGGCAGCCATGCTAAACTACAAAAATTTTCAAAAATCGATAAATTAATTGGCATGAAAACAAAAGAAAAACACCTATAAACAGCGCCCATAAGATCGAGGGAAAAAATGAGACAAAGACACAAGCTAGCCTTTCTCTTATAAGCAAAAGATGCTATGCTAATTTTTCTATCAAGAAAAGATTGTTAAAAGAGTGATGAAGAAACTGTTTTTTGTAAAATCGTTAAGTGAGTGTTCTTTTTTTGGATTTTGAGAGGAATTCTCTGGTTGACCGCAACGCAGGAGCAACGCGGCATGGCTCAAAAGCGCGCGATATTGATAGCCAGTGGAGGAAGGGATGGGAGGAAAAGAAAAGGCCCGCAATGGGATACGCTGGGGTGAAAAGGCAAAAAAGACGTGAATTAATCCGATCCTGGGCATCGAAGGAGCAGATTTTGATGCTTTAATGCGTAAATGGGTGGAGAACAAAATTGAAATGAACTTTTCGGAAATTAGAAACTTTAGATCATTTGTAGCACGAAACTGAATATGCAGTTGTTCAACTGAATAGCTTTTATAAAAATGGTAAATTAGCTTATTTAAGAAACTTTTGACTTCTTTCATTTCAAATTCATTTCTCACTTTAACTACACAGTTTCTAATGAAAAGACTTGCTGGTTTGTTGTTTTTTTGTATTTTAAGATAAAATTGATTAGATTTTGTTTTTAGGTGGCACAAGTCGAAAAGGAAGCCAAAAGAGCACGAGTAAAAAAAGCAGCATTAAGTCAATCACTCAAAATGGAAGCCAGAAAGGCAGCGTGAAAGCCTCGCTAAGTGCAAAACTTGAATACAAAAGGTTTGTTCTTTAGTTTCTGGTTGCTAACGCTGAAAACGGTACGAATGACTTAACGTGTTCTCAAGGAGCAATCGAAGTGAACTCAAGAAAGGTCTCAGCCCTCCGAAAGCTTTTGATCTGATCAAGATTAACGAGGCTCCACAAGAAGTAAAGCCGACATCATTGGTAAGTTATGGGTGTTTTTGTTAGTAAACTTTATTAATTGCTTTACTATATTTTTAAGAGGTGCCAGCTAATAGATTCTAAATGGCTACATATTAATAACTTTCCTTCTAGTTTATGGTTTTCTTTTTAGAGCGCATCTTTGTTACCAGCTGATGAATTTGATAAAACACAGTGGGAGAACACAAAATGGAAAGACTCACATCAACGTGCTATCGACCAAGAAGAAAGCAAAAGTGAGAAGTTTGGATTTTCAATTTTTAAAAAACGACAATCCTCTAATTATGATACATTTTAGGCTTGCAGGGCCCCGCGGAAGCAGTGACAGCTGGTGCGGTGCCAGGGGAGAAACATCAACGTGAACGTGTGCGAGGACAGTACTTACGAGTTATTGCATGGGTTTCCATAATTCTGCTCATTGCTGAACTGGTGCGTTTATACCATTTATTTCCTTACCTTTATCAGCGACGAGCATTAGGGTTTTATTTTCAGGAATATCGGTATTGTTTTGCTTTTCAGTGCTTACTACTTTTGTGGGCAGCAATCTCCTATGGACTTGTCTACACTTGCCCCGATCCTCATGGACTCGTGCTTAATTCGTGCAATATTGTCCTGATGCTGGTGTCGATTGGATTCCTTCTTATCACAATTGTAAGTTTAAAAGTTTTCATTGCTTCTTTGTTGTATTAATAAGTTTAATTTTTTGATTTTCGTAGATTGCTCGATGTCACGTGAGACGAAGAACGCATGGAGAACAAAAGGTTTACTACATCTCTTACTGGTGGAAAATCGTTGTGGGTTTTTAAAGTTTTATTTTTCAAACAAACAAAAAAGTATAAACATTTCAACCGGTTTAATTTTAAATTTGAAGTTCTTTTTTAGTTTTTCTCTTTTCAATGGCTTCGCGTTTGTTTGGGTTTTCTGATCGTCATGCAGCATGGACTTCAATGGCATCTCATTCCTAAACCTAATCCTGTTGTATTTATCCGGTTAGGACTTGTCATTCTTCTCGTATGTTTGCAGGTACGGTCTTTCATTTAAAACATTGAACTGTGTTTTTTAGTTGATCCTGTCAATTGTGTTGACCGTGTGCACTTCATGCTGCCGCTTTACGATCATCAAGCCCCACGACGAATGAATATCGAAAAAAGAAGGCAAGACTCGATTTTGAAGGATTACAATTTTTAACGAGTTCTGTTTTAAAAGTTAGTATGGCTTTATAAATCGTGAGCTATAAAATAAACGTCATTTCTATTGAAGTGCAAAAACAAAAGAAACAATAGAGCTGTCTCCTTTGAATAGGTAAAACCTTCTAATAAACGCGTAATTCCTTTCCCATAGCATTAATCTGGATCAATTTATGAAAAAGCTTCCTTTTCTAAACTATCAGTGCTCACCTTTCCTTTTTTCACAATCTCTAATATGTTCAATATGGAAAGATCGACACAGAGCCTCGATTTGCATTCAGCGACGATTCCGCAAATTTTCTCACCTTCAACAACCGAGCGCCCGTCAACTTTGTCATCGCCCGAATAGATCGATTTTCTTTCCCCTTTTCTGCTATATTAAAGCTCTTTTTGCCATTCAAACCGCTAACCAAATAAATGACAGATCGCCGCACTTCGGTGAGCGCTCAAATATCACGGACTGCCCGGTAAATTTTGTTTCAAATTTGAATACATATCAACTCTATTAATTGTCTGGCCTTGTTTGATTTTAAAAACTGATACAATTGCGTAATATATAGACGATTATCAGCAGCGATTGCCCCCCATTTGGCTCGTTTGGAAAACATTGGATCACTCGATCATGTATCTGAGTTAAGAAAACTTAGCCAATCAAAAAAAATATTCAGGTAGAAGGAATTCAAGTGAGACTTGTCAATATTCAACAGGTAACAGACAGTGGGGTTAAAAACCAAGTGAGGTTTCAGGTAGAAGAAGCAATGGAAAAATACATTTTACGCAACGCTGTCCATTTTTCGCCAATTGACTTTGATGTGACCGATTTGAATGGACACAAAGTAGATTAATATCTAGAATTAAGCAAAATTTCTTCAGATTTTACGTGCCATTCTATCACCTGAAGAAATTGTGATTTTCGAGGGATCGAGACGGATATTGTCTGTACATTCGGATGAAAATGAACAATCATATTCGGCGAAAGTGAAACATCCAATATCGGGTAATCTTAATTTGAATTTGAATCCAATGTTTCAGGAATGAAAGTCTATGAATTCTCGGATCTGGGATCTCGGGTTGAAGTTCACTCAAATGGAGATCTTCTTGATAAATGCAGGTGATTGGAATAAATAAACATTGGAGAAATCATTAGAAAAGCTCAGTTTATCATCAGAACAAACTCCTTGTAGTTCACTTTTACTTGGAGCTGGATGTATTTTCACGAAGGTAGACTCGGATAGGTATTTAATATAGTAAATCGTTTCCAGGAGGAATGGTCGATTCGACGAGAGGAAGAACCGGTGGCCACGGTGACTCCCGTTCGATCGTTTTTCCAGCAAAACTCTTTCAGGGTATGTGAAAAGGGAAAAGTTGCAGATTTAGACGAATTCAAAGTCAAAATGCTAAGGAATTCTCAAGTGTTTGGATACTCAGTTGTGCACAGGATGGGGTCTGCTTCCGAAGTGAGCTCCTCGAGTACTTAACTTTATGCTCTCAAACATCGAAACGAACCCCCTTCTGGCGCACTGAGCCTCAGCAGCAAAGCCAAACGCAATTTTAGGCGACTTGGCATCCATCGACGGAGAATGAGATCCGTCTCTTGGCCGTCATTTGGACTTTACTAGTGACAATTCGTGAAGCTTTTCCCTCACTACACACAATCCTCAAAGAATACCAAATACGAAATTCATAAAATGATATTCATTTGAATAAATGATTTTTGAAAGTGTCGAAGAAAAACATGGCAATTCATTTCCTATTTGTGTCGACTTGGCGGATGGCGCGGGAAGATGAAAAGTAGAAGTGGATCGCTCTCATCGAGGTAAGCATTTTTTCGAATAGAGTTTTCTAAAATGTGGAAACTTTCGGAAACTATCGTAACTTTTAGTTTTTATCCACATGGTTAATTTTTTCGTTTTCAGGAGATCATGATGTGGAATTTGCTTCGAGGCGAAACCAGCACACGAAATGCAGGTTATTTCCATCATCATTTACATTTTTTATTCGTTTTTCTCTAGGAAATGCCCTGTAAACATTCTTTTTGCACACAATGCCGTGCCACCTGTCAGAGCAAGTCTTTTCATTTGAATAAAACGTTTTTCTTTTTCTAGATTCGCTGTGTTCTCAACTAAAGCGCAAGAATAGCCGAACAATGGATATTCTCATCGACGAAAGTAAGCATTTTTAGTTGGATTTGATTATATGCCTTGTAAAAAGTGTAAAAAATTTAATTTAAGCTTGTTCTTTTTTCAGCCATGGACAAGTTGAATGTCGATGAATGTCACTTTTGGTGGCAAAATGCCGGCCATACTCGATATTGAGGAGAAATTTCGGTGAGTTGACCTATTTTCATTGTAAATATCGAGCCCCAGACATTTGTTCAACTATTTTATTTAAGTTTGTCATCTTTTTTAGATGTAAGTCATATCGTCATGGCGCCTTCCTTTGTTTAGGACTTGCTCGAGTTGCGATGCAAGATTGCCAGTAAGTTTCATTTTTGCATTTTCCAATAATTAACGCTTTAGTCACCGCATTTGTTTCGCCTGCTTGGCGCAACGGGTTCAATATGCCAATCAACAAAGTAAGTTTACATAATTAAAATGCTCGTTTTCTTTTAATTCAGATGAAGTGCCAAATTGTGCTCATTCCCAGTGCGCCAACAGGCTCACGCGCTCCAAAATGATGCGCATCGCTGAAAAGGTGGGTTTTATTTAAAATTTGATTTTTTCTATTTATGGATTTATAGTACCCAAATATGGGCAACGAATGCAAATAGATTATGGCCAGAATGATACACGAAAACGATTATGGAGAGCACAGCGTTTGCCTTTTGGTTTGAATTTTTAGATAAGTTTTTATACTTATTTTTAGAAAAAGGCGAGATCGTTGCAAGGTGCGGTGTTTGGGGTCGAGTGTACACTCTTCGCCATTTCAACATTCCCACAAATCGTCTTGTCGGTGAGTGTTTATTAGTAAATTAGCTATAATTTAAATAACTTCGCATGCCTCTCCTTTTTCCATCAATTTACATCAAAATTCCAACATCAAATTGACTTCTAACCTTTAAAATCAGGTGATATGGTGAGCGCAATTCTGCAAATTTAACGCCTTCCCCGTAATCGATCCATTTCTTCCTTTGGCGTCTATGTTATGCGCGATAAGCAAAATGGTTTGTTGAGCCTTTGAAAGAATTTAATTGCGAAGTTGTTCCAGGCCATGCCAAATACGAACGAGTGAATCTGAAAGAAAATGGGCGCAAGAAAGTTTATGTAAGTGATGTAATGATTGGATTTTCTTAGCCAACTCATTTTTTAGCAAATGGCCTACCCGGAGAAAGTGCACTTTGTGGTTGACTTGGACAATGTTCTTGCAAAAAGTCGTTAATCTTTGAAATGATAGGCATTTTTGTAGTCTTTGATTAATTCCTATATGATTTGTGATCAGTTTTCTAACACCACTTTAGTGAAAGAATGAATTTTGTGTTTTAGAATCGATTTGGTGATCAGGCTACCGTATTGAATGTCATTTTCTTCCTAAATACCCCATCTTTAACACTCAAAAGGAAAGCGGTTCACCTGTGAAGAAAATAGAAGAGTTGATAATTGGAGACTCGTTTTTTGAGCCATCGGCAAACATAGTAAGTGTTTATGATTGACAGCCTTGGCCTGTGATGGATTGGTGCATCACCACCATTTTTTTTTTTGCTTTGAGCGTAAAGAGTGTTCCTCTCGTCCTCTTGACACTTTTCTAAAGTATGTCGCCTTTCGAAAGCTACCGTAATCGGGTGGCTTAGTTGGGTATTCTGTTGCAATACTCATTAACTCAATATAAGTTAAATTTGATTAATTAATTCAAATGTTTTGAAAAGTCAGTTCTACTTGTCTTTTTTCTGTTTCCGATCCGAAAAATCCATAAAAATCCAGCTCTGAACACTCATTTTGTTGAGGTCATAAAAAAGGGTTGTTCCATGGAATACTGAAAGTGAAAGAGAAAGAGAATACTGTACTTTACCGATGGTGATAGATTTGAAATTTGGGGGGGTGGGACAAAAGTGCACCTTTTTTTCGCTGGAAAAGGCCGTAGAGCTTTAAAAATGTTTCCACATAGGGGAATCATATACGTAGATTCCGAATTTCGAGAAATTATAACTGGCTGACAGGTCAAATTTGGGCTAAGAGGAAAAAACTGCGGAAAAGCGTTAAGTTGCGTAGTTTTTGCCTCTTAGCCCAAATTTGACGTGTCAGCGAGTTATAATTTGTCGAAATTCGGAATCTACGTATATGATTCCCCTATGTGGAAACATTTTTAAAGCTCTACGGCCTTTTCCAGCGAAAAAAAGGTGCGCTTTTGGTCGGGTGCGCAAAAAAAAGGTGCACCTTTGTCCTACCCCCGAAATTTGCTTACTTTCAAACGAATTTCAGAGGACTTACAACGAAATCTGTAGTACAGATCAATTTTTGGAGTAATTTAGATGATTTGACTTTCAGTAAAACTTCATTATTATATCATTCCCCATCATAAAACGATCATCTTTCAATATCTCTCATTCCAAATCTGCATCCAAGTGAGATTGTTTGGTCAAATGATTGACCATAAATCGCTTTATAACTCAAACTTTTGATTTCTCAAGAGATAATTACGAGGAGACAACGTTGCCAATGGGGTTTTTTTTGAGCTGTACAATGAGAGCTGTACAATTGCACAAAGAAAAAAAGATACTATGATATCTAGACTAATGTTTTACATTTTTACATGTTTAACCTTAAATTTACCTACTTTATTTGACGATTTAGATAGAGGTTTACACGTTAACAACTCACGATTACATCAACAAGCAAATCCATAGTGCGGTTAAAGTCAATTTCTTTTCTTTTAAGAACATTATTTATCGTTGTTTCCCCTGATCTTCAAAGAGCTATGAGCTATTGAAACGATGTGAGAATTGGTGTCAAGGGAAAAGAGGAAAGAAAGAGTTGACACTTTAAGCCCCAACGAAAGGATCGACGATTTGTGGATGGGCTGGCCTCTAGGGACATTCATGAAGGGAAAGGGATAGCTGAGATTCGAGCTAGGATTTGCATTCACACATTCAACTCCCAAAAATCCCCCTCTTTTCTTTTTATATGTGGTGACAGCCACACAGCTGCCCCTCTTCCAATCCACAATTCATTCTTGGGGAATAGCTGAAGAAGCTTGCCAAGTTTCGTCAGTTAAGTTGAAACTCAATCGGCTTTCTCTACTAATTTCTACAGTGTACAGCATTGTTTAGACAGAAATATCTTGGGGAATAGCTGAAGAAGGCATACAAACTGTTGTGATTGAGTTTTCTTTGATACAAACATGTAAAAGCTTTCAATGATAAGATAAATCAATTTGCAAGTCAATTCTAAGAAAATTCAAACCAAAAAACTGTTGTGATTGAGTTTTCTTTGAGAAAAGTGTTTCCGAAAAGTTGTGATTAAGAAAAAGCTATTGTATTCCGGTTGTAAGCATTTTCCTCGTTTTTTTTTCCAAAGAATTACGGTAGCTTTCCTCTAAAGGACACCTTTTAGAAGTAGCTTTAATCAAGCGGAGATCTATCTCAGAACTGTCACTTCAATATTTCTCTTCTCATTCACCTCATTGCTTAAGAGTTGAGGAATGGTTGAGTGAATGAATGAATGAATGAAAAGAAAGAAGGGAAGAAAGAAAGGAAGAAAGAAAGAAAGAAAGAAAGAAAGAAAGAAAAGAGAGAAGAGTCCCGAAATGTGGTCATTTCTGTGTGTTGTCTGTCTTCTTGTCTTCTTGTTTTGTGTCCCCGTTCGATCGTATCTCCGATGATCCACTTCTTTCCAAAAAAGGAATCAGTGTTCTTCATTTTCTTTTTTCTTTTCATGACACCGAGAGCTTCAAAATGAGGAATGAAATGGTTGAGGTTGTAAAGAAGAAAAAACACTTTTACCGAAAAAGTCGAAACATAACTATTTACCGTAATCCCTGAGGTATTGTGATAAGTTCAAAGATCGCAAATCCAATTTATCTATCATAGCTTATCAATAAGGCTGCCGTATTTACCATAATGCCTCTCCTCTCCTCGAACGTAATGCATTACGTAGTCCTGCTTTTAGTTTAGCCAGATCTACTTTAAGATCTCCTCCTTTACAGAGTTAGACAAAATAATAGATTAGCAAATTAGGGTCAAGACTACTCGATTATAGTAGTTGGAGAACTAAAGACAGAAATAAGGTTACGGTAGTTTCCTCGAAAGTTCACGTTTTTAAAAAAAACACATATCGAAAACTGACTTTCTGAAATATTTCTCTGAAAAAGATTCCAGTTTTGGCCATTTCCCCATTTGATCAATAGAGAAAGGACCAACTGTTCGGTGGAATCGAGACTTTGGCCAGTCAAAACCGTATCCCCTCAATCCCCTCAATTTTGGCCATTTCCCCATTTGATCAATAGACAAAGGACCAACCCTCAATCCCCTGAATCCCCTCAATTCCACCGTATCCCCTCAAATTCTTTGTTCTTTTTCAAACACCAAACTCTTCTAATTAAAGATCACTCAACTGGAAAGAAATTCTTTCGATTTCATTTTCGGTTTAGTTTTTTTAAAGCTCAACATAAGAAAAGAATCGAGATTCCAGTTTTGGCCATTTCCCCATTTCATCAATAGAGAAAGGACCAACTGTTCGGTGGAATCAAGACTCAATGAGGCGGTGAATATGATGAGAGATGAAGCTTTTCCCTGAAGAAAAGAGAGAAACTATAAATCTGGGTAGGCTTCAGTTTTGACGAGAAATTGATGAGAGAAATGCGAGAGAAAAAGGCAATAGATGGCCCATCGACAGACGATATGCTAATTTTTCGCTTTATCGACCTTTTGTGAGCACTTTTAGGGTGGATTTTGAAGTAAACTGAGTATTAAATGGAGATTTTCTTGAATCGTGAAGAATGGGGATGATGGGTTTTACTGTTTTGTTTTGTCAATAGCTTGTTTTGATTGAGAATTTGATAGAGATTGTGCAGCTTAACAAGGTGATTTTCTTTCTTGATCTGGTCTGGAAATTGGTCAAAATAGATGATTGTTTAGCTGAAATAAGTCTTTGTTCATCTTTGTTCATCAGAAATCTGAAATCTTTATCCATCTTTCTACATCAAATTCTTTTCTTATATTGAGCTTTAAAAAAACTAAACCGAAAATGAAATCGAGAGAATTTCTTTCCAGTTGAGTGATCTTTAATTAGAAGAGTTTGGTGTTTGAAAAAGAACAAAGAATTTGAGGGGATACGGTGGAATTGAGGGGATTCAGGGGATTGATGGAGTCTTGATCGAGAAATTGAAGCGAAAGGGATGATGGGAAAGGGGAAATCCCTGGGGGAACCTTATCGAAACGGGGCAATGACTCTCTTCAATTCAAACTTTATATAGGATACCTAGAAGTGAAAGAGGAACTCAATTACCCGGAGAATCGACAAAAAGATTCTGATTCCCAAGGGAAACATTGAGCTTTTCCTGGATAAACAAACCAGTTTCCAGTTTCATACGGTGCTCAACACCTACCTATTCGTCTCTTTATGCGTTACTGTAACTTTACTTACTGATTTCACTGATTTCGACCGTAATCGTTTCTTATTTAGCACCTAAGTTGTCTACGATAGCTATGCGGAATGGTACATTCAAAGTTATGCGGAATGGTACATTCAAAGCTATGTGGAATGGTACATTCAAACTCGAGCCATTTGTCGGCTTTTTTTAAAGCACTTTCAAAGATTTCCGTTAACGCCTTTTAGCAGAAGGGAATTTGGTGAGAGGAAGTGCCCTGAAGGCTTGGAAATGAAGAAAGAGAAAGAGAGAGAGAGACACGCTTAGAATATCGAGGCAATGGATACCCTCAGGCATTCCCTCTCTCAACCTTTGATCTATCAAACGGTCAATTAGTGTAGATGAAACGTGGCCGACTATCACCTTAGGGATGAAAAGGGTGAAAGGAATTGGGTGTCAAGGTCTTCAGGTAGATGGGATTTCTTGAAAAACACCTCCACTGATCTTGACGGCTTTTGCACACTATTTGATGGATTACATGAGTCAAGAGATTTGAATTTGAGAAAGGATATGGAGAGCTGATCTTGAGAAGACTTTCGTAGATAAATATTATATCAATGTTGAATAAATAGATAAATATTTAGTCATTTTTACACTTCTACACTTCTTTAGACCAAGATCTACAACTGCAATATGTCTATTTTCTTCACATATCTTTTTCTTGTTCAAAAACATCTTATATCTGGCATTGGCGTCGCTCTATATCTTTGTTCTAAATCTATAACCTTTCTAACAATTGTAAGCTTATTCTAAAGTCGAAGTATTAAGTCTAAAGTCTTTCTAAAGTTTATTCTAAAGAGATTCTCAACTAGCCAAGTGTTACCAAAATCTCTATGTCAGATTTTGATAGCTTTGGCTTTAGCTTTAGCTTTGGCTTTGCCTTTGCCTTTGGTGTTGAGCTTTATCCAAGCTCCTTTCAGATCATATCATCCTATCAAAAACGCATTTTGCCTCATCGATCTGTACAAATCGTGTGATTTCTTTTGTAAATGAAAATGAGCTTTGCGATGGGGCTCTTCCTTTCCCTTTTCCCCCCTTCAAAATGTTTTGCCTCTTTTCCTCCTTTTCATTTTCCACTTTACAGCCGTTCCTTTTTCTCCCCCCTTTTTTTCTCTTTTTTCAAAAACGGTTCCCTCAAGAGATTCGTTCTTTTCTTTTCCAATACATTTTCGAAAAAAAAGATTTGCCCCAACAAAAAGGAGACTACAGTAGAGATGACAGAGGGAGAAGAGAGTTTCAAAAGTTTGTGAAAGTTTGAAATTTGAAACTAATTTGTGTAAAGACTTTAGTCAGGTCAAGGATCAACAAGATCATCTAGAGAATACTTTGGTTTACAAGTAGATGGATTACTCGATTACTCGACTAACCAATTGCTTAAGTTAGATACGGTACTTATGCATTGAATATAGGACTTAAGAATTCAACTAGTCCAGCATTTTTTGTAGAAGCAACTAGTCCAGCATTCATTCCAGCAGTTAGACGCGGTACTTTTCTGTTCCCCCTGTTCAGTTTTGCCTTACATAGCTCTAGAAAAATCTACAAGATATAAGGCTTGCCATTGAGCTTTTCCTTTGAGAGAATAGTTTCAAAATATAATTTGGTTCCTTATCTCTCTAAATTTGGTTTATCGTACTTGAGCCTGAGCTTGAGCATCACAAATTCAACTATAAGCCACTCAATTGCAACTTTGTTAACTTTAAAACTTCTCAAGTACATAAATCTGTTCTATTTCTGAATGTCAATGTTTATGGGACACAAATTAATCCGATATGATCTTGTTTTTTGTGGAATCAGATAGGGATCGATGGGATGAGTGAGTTGGCTAATAAAACCCAGTCTCAGTCTCAGGTCTAGGTAGTAAATTTTGGGGAAAAGGGTGATGTACTGCAAGATTCGCAGATTTAATCACCGATGCCATTTCACAATTCATCATACAACAAGATATTGTTTGGAGGTGAAAGGCTCCTATTGGCTGAGGGAGGAGGCGTGACCGAGCACTGCCCCTCCCGCAGCCCCTCCCTCAACCCTCCCTCAGCCCCTCCCCTTCCCCCTCTTCCCTACTCATCCCTCTTGTATTATCGAGGCTGATTATCGTGTTCTCCCTTCAGTTTCCCTTTTCAAATCTCATCTCCAAATCAAATCTCTCCCTTTTCTCTTCTTTTTTCACCAAAAATTGCCATCGAAATGTGCTTCTCCTTGTATATCTTGATCTCCCCTTTCCCCCCATTCGTCTTATCGCTTTTTTTCATCATTATTGGCCCATTGATAGCTTGCAATTGATCCTTTCAACAGTTTCTCTATTCTTTTATTTCTCTTCAAAATGTTGTGTGTCCAACTTCGAATTTGGTGACTTTGTATTCAAATTTTTTTAATGATAAAATCTTTCCAGAATGACAAACACATATGATACGAAAGAATCGTATGGAGATAGCCTCCTCCAACAGTCACAACAAACCCCTCTTGAGCCTGGCGCTTTTCTTTATCCGGGAGTTGGGGTAAGCAGATTGTAATATCTAATAGTAAAATCTAGTAGAGTCTAGTAGTAGTAATCTAGTAGTATTTTCATCTTTCATCTTTCATCTATAAACTAGTATCCATTGTACAGTAATCAGAGCTTTATATTGGATTTAAGATGGGCTCTCAAATGGAGGTCGAGGATTCGCTGAGTGCTGATGAAGAACATCAGAGTTTGAATCCACAAGATGTGGTTGGTTTTTTTTGAAAAGAAAATATTGAAAAGACTTCAGAGTGAGTACTTGTCAGCTTTTCTAGATTTCATAATAGATATAAGACTAGATTTAATCACAAAACCTCGAAAGAATTGCTTTAAAAACAAATAGAATGCTATAATGCAATGGCTCGTTGTCGAGGTACTACTCAAATCATTAAAAGTAACCTAGCCTATAGTTACTCTACAGTTATAGAATCACTTTACGGTACTTTTACAAGTTTACGAAGTTAAACAACTTCTTTAGGCTCCTCCACGAATCGATCTTCCTGATGGAATCCATCAAACACCAGAATTGGCAAATCTCACCTTAACTGATGAGGTGAGTGGCTAGCTTTGGCTAGCTAGCTTTGGCTTTGGCTAGCTAGCTTTGGCTTTGGCTAGCTAGCTTTGGCTTTGGCTTTGGCTAGCTAGCTTTGGCTTTGGTTTTGGCTAGCTAGCTTTGGCTTTGGCTTTGGCTAGCTAGCTTTGGCTTTGGCTTTGGCTTGCTAGCTTTTAAACTTCTTGAACTTGATCAACGATCACTATGTAAACATTTGTTTATCTCTTTTGTTTCCTTTCTGCCGATCTTCACCTTGATCTTTTCACTTTTATCTCGAAATATCCTTATCAATTTCCCCTTTTCTTTTTCCACCGTATCCCTATCAACTTTCACTATTCGAATCTTTTTGTTTCTCTCTTTGTTTCTCTCTTTAAAGAACCCACATTGAAACTTGAACTTAACCAAAAACTCACAAATCTTGTGAATACATTTTCTGAATTCTTTAATCTGTTGGTTTATTTAAAAACCAGTCCTAAACCTAGACTTCAAGGTCCAGCTCAAGGTCCAGCTCAAGGTCCAAGACTAATCCTGTCCTGACTTGATCTAGCTTAGTCCCTGGGACCCAGTTGAAACCACCCCACAGCTACTAGGCTTCGTCTCTCCAGGCTCAATGACTTTTCATTGAGTTCATTGAGTTCATTGAATTTCATTTGCTATAAACAAATCAGGGTAACAGTTTTGTCTTTTTTAAAAGCCAATAGCTTGTCTCAAATACTCATTCGCTGTAGGTTTTTGATGGAGCCGAATTGAAAGGAAGTTTCTTTAAGCAAAGCAAAAGCTTTTGCCAATTGAATGGACTCTGCAATGAATATGTTTTCTTCTTTTCACTGATCTTCTTTTGGGTGGTCCTCTATCGGCTTTCCCTTGATTTCCTTCATTTAGTGCAAATCGTTTCTCTTTCTTTTCAAATGGTTCTTTTTGACATTCCCCATTTCTTCACCATTTTTTCTGATTCATCTTCATTGACAGAAAATTTGCAATCCTCGTTTTCCAGAAAAATTTGCAAAAATCGATAGTGAGAATGGATTAAAATGATTCATTTGATAAAATCTAAAGCAATTGGAAAAAAGCAATTGAATTACTGACCAGTAGAAAACTGTAACCCTGAAGGAGTGATAGTTGTTTAATCTTTGCTCGGAGAAGAGTGATAGTTGTTTTGTGATTGTTTAATCTAAAATCTCCTCAATCTTTACACATTGCTGAAGATATTCTTTTGATTTCTCTCTGATCTGGCATGCAGTTTACAAGATCGTTGACGCAGTTAACAAATTTTTGCAAAAAATCTATTAGAACATGAGACTGAGAGTGAGATTTCTTACAATTAGACTCCGATTGACTGAGCCGATTGACTGGGCTTTGAATTTTTATCTAGACTACTAAATGTTTGACAATTTTCAGTTATTCTCTCCGATGAAGGTGAATCCATTCACCTATTCATCAGCAGCTTATCCAACAGCCTACACAGCAGCTTCCGGAAAAATGCTCGATCCTTACAGTAAGTTGAAGAAAAAGGCTTTCTGTTCGGGATGTTTTCGAATTTCTAAAAGTTGAAATTTGAAACTAATTTGTGTAAAGACTTTAGTCAGTTCAAGGATCAACAAGACGATCTAAAGAATAAGATCTAGAGAATATAAGATCTAGAGAACCTAGGTTTACAAGAAGATAAATGGATTACTCGATTAACCAATTGCTTAAGTTAGATACGGTATTTATGCATTGAATATAGGACTTAAGAATTCAACTAGTCCAGTATTCTTTGTACTGCAGTTAGACGCGGTACTTTTCTGCCCAAAAAGGCAAAACTGAACAAGGGGAGGCCCCTTGTTCATTTTTGCCTTTTTGCCTTTTTGCTCTTTTGCCAAGTTAGATAGGGTACTTAAATTGAATATAAGACTATCCAACAGCCTACACAACAGCCTACACAACAGCTTTCGGTAAAATGCTTGATCCTTATAGAAAGTTTAAGAAAAACGCTTTAAAAACGGTACTTATGCATTGTGTCATCATATTGAAGATCTAAGACTATCCAACAGCCTACACAACAGCTTTCGGTAAAATGCTTGATCCTTATCAAAATTGAAAATAGAAAAACGCTTTCTATTAGGTATCTTTAGGTAAAAGAAAATGCAAATTTTAAATTATAAATTACCATTGATTGATTGAAATCTCTAGTGATGTGGACGATTGTTTCTCACGCTGCCATAGAGAAAGGAGATAGATAACATCAAAATTAATCATAGAGAAAGGCTTGATGAAGACAAACGATTAAAGAGAAATTTTCAATAATTTCAATGATGACACATTTTTTTTTGCGGGGGTTGAACGAGAATTCATTAGATCTTTAAAGGGGAAAAAATGAATTTAACGAAATGCATCTATGGACTGCTTTGTGCTCCAGATAGGGGACGTTTTTTAGAGAGCACAGAGTACTCATGGAAAGCCTTTTAGAAAATGCGTTTTTGTTTAAGAAAAAGCTTGTCTTTAGTCGTGCTTTGGGCTTTCTTTGTAAACACAACCTTTCTGGTGCACTCACTAGTGCGCTAGAGAGATTTTTAGCCGCAAAATACACATTCGAAATGTTTAATATGCAAATTGAATCATAAAATGGTATCCTTTTCGAGATTTTCTTTGATTCTCGAAGACTGAGCATTCAATTTCCGTTTAGCATCCGTTAAACGGCTGGGGATAGGGTACTCCTTTTCTCTTTTCAACCCATTCACACCACATGACGCTTCAAAACAAACCCAATCTCACCAACCAGAAAAAGATAGATTAGTGAATGGAAATATCGAGTAAAGTTATGATTCGATGAATTGATTAAGCCATTCTTAATCAATTATTTCTTTACCTATTTGTTTAAGAAGATAAAGATAAAGATAAAGATTTGATAAAGCAAAAGAAAGAAACTAGTTTAATATAGATAAAGCAAAAGAAACAAAGTAAAAGCAAACTCTTCGGTCCGAGGCGGGATTGAACCCTCAACGCCGGCCTCGTCTTCAGCCTACCGGGCTGATGCTTTACCACTGAGCTATTGCGGATTTTTTCACTGAGAAGAGCTAGGAAACAAAACGAGGGGTAATGAAGATTTTCCTTTCAGGCAGCACTCCATTCTTCTGGAGCTCATACGCAATGCCGGATCCAAACAATCCGATCTCTCCACATATGTTCACTTCTTCAGCTGAGCATGTATTTGGTAAGTCAAACAAAAACTCGATTAGACTTTCCAGAGCAAAAAAAAAACAAAGCTAAAGGTTCAAATGGTCAAATTTAGGTGATAAGGTCAACTGAAATTACTGTGAAATCGTGAACTTTAATGTTTTAACTATAGAAAAGATCAATTTCCACCCTTTTTCAAGCTTTTTTTTAAATGTAAAGGATTGGTGTGAATATCTATAGCTTGGGGTGTGAAATGTCCGCGAAATATCATCACTGATTCACTGTGTTTTTATTTGATTAGGAAGAGCAGGAGAAAAACTGTAGGAAGAAGGAAAAGAAGGAAAAGAAAGAAAAGAAGCCCAATGCTTTCCCCGTTTTCCCCTTTCTTTCTCTTTCAATTTCCCCTCCCACAAAGTGCCCTTTTCCATTTGGATTCTTCGTTTTCTGGAAACACTCGGCAAAAACGGCAAAAACCGTGTCTCCATTGCATTCTATTTCCTCGTGAAAAAAAACTATGGAATGTCAAAATATTGAACTTTACACAGCAATGAAAAACTTGTACGATTGATTGCAATAAACTAGCTGCATTCCAGATAGAAGAATAAAAAAGAAAATTGACGCTAAATAGGTTAAAATTAACTAGAAATAGCTGAGAAAAGCTTTAGACCAATAAATCTCAATAGATCTTAGTGCTTTTAGAGATTTATTCTTTGTTTTCTTACTATCTGGAATGCACTTTAGATAATCCAATGGAGAAAGATCTTAAATTTGAAAATCAAGACCCTACAGTACTAAGGCTACTATGTTAAGGCTTACAGTACCCTATGGTACTATTAAAGCTTACAGTAACCTTTTGAAAACGTCAAGAATAAGCAACGATTCAATTTTCTTGGCAAAGCAGACTTTACGGCCAATCAATTTCAGGTGCCCAAGCCACCGCGCCAACCCTGATGCCCACCTATGCGGGTTACACGAGCGCCGACGCGTACAGCGGCTATTCGATGCTGTCCACCCGTGTCCCCCATTATCCAATCAACGCCGCTCCATCAACGCCATCCTCCACCGAGTCTTCCAATTCTTCAAATTCCCTATCAGCGTCTTCTCATTCAGCAAACAGTTCCTCTTCTACAAATGATTCCACGTTGACAATCACCCCATTGAATGTGAATCGAAACAATAAGAATCGAGCCTCAGGTGAGAGTTTGGATTAAATATAAAAGCTAAAGCTAATCAAGACCAGAGCTAAGCAAGCACAAAGTAAAGTATCTTATAGTAAGGCTTTGTAAGCTGTAAGCTTTGTAAGCTGAATGAATTTAAAGCTTGAAATTTACTATAGACAGTAAGTTATTCAATTAACGTCTTACTGTAGATACAATTGAGTTTCCCTATCTACAGCAAGACTTTTCTTACAATTTAAGTAAGCAACGTGGTTAGATATCCATTTGAAGTTTTCCCCAAACATGCTAAAGAATTGGTAATAGAAAATAGCAGAAAAGCTAGATTCATACAAACCTCAAATACTTTTCTCTCAAAATTTCAGCGATCACCGAGGGTCGAGAGTGTGCGAATTGTGCAGCTCGGCATACTCCATTGTGGCGAAGAGATAACACGGGACATTATCTGTGTAATGCGTGTGGATTGTACCAAAAGATGAACAACACCGCGAGACCGTTGCAGAAACCGAAAAAGAGACAGGTGGGTGCGAGAAGAATGGATGATTCGAAGGAAAATTGAATACTAGACCGATTTTTGTGATAATCAGATTTGATCCGAGTTCAAGACTTTAGTGTGTACTGTAGAGTGGCACTTAAGGCACTTAAAAAGAGTAGCACAGTTAGTGATTGTCAGCTTAGGCTTGGCTTCCCTAGTGCCTTGCTTAGTTCGATCAAAAACTTCAAAATCAACCAATTTTTATTTTAATTGCCCGTTTACTCAACAAATCTCATCAAAATTGAAAGAATTGTGGGGAAAAAAAGAAATCGGCTTACATGAAAGAAAGTAAAAAGGAAATTGTGTAAAAAGGACATCAATTTTCCATTCAGAAAATCGCGCAAAGTCCCCCTCACTTTGGAGTGTGCCAAGGGGTAAAAAGAAACCGCAAAAGTGTTTGTTTCTTTCTTCTTTTCTTCAATGAAATCATTTGTTAATGGGTGAAGCGGCTGTTACTCAATTTTTCACTTCACTTCTCAGCTTAACTTTTTTTTTTCGACCCACCAGTTTTTCATCGGCTAATGAGGGATTTTGTACAACCATATCGTAAGATTCAAAAATTTCAGCTATCAACAAATAGGTAGAGAAGTAATTGATTAAGAATGGCTTAATCAATTCATCAATTCATTGAATCACCATCATCTTTAAATTTATCAAATGAAAGCAATTAGCAAGAAAAGGGTAAAGAATTATAAACTGATTTCATTCGATCTATTCCATTCCATCTATTCCTTCTTCTTTCTTTCCTTTTCAACTTCTCGATGGACACCTTGTTTATGAATGAAAAGAAAAGATCCTTTTGCCTATATTTTTACGGTTCACTCTCGACAATTTATGATTTCTACGAGTCGCCAATGGGAGGGAAAAGGGAGGAGAACGGGTACGGTAAGGGTCCATGATCGGGGAAAAGGTCTAGAGATGGGAAAACTTAAACTTTGATGATTAGCTAAATAACTAATCATCAAGCTTACTGTTTGCTCTATAGTTACCGTATTTCTTCATTAGAATCTACATAGATTTGAAGCGAGGTTCACTGTAACGAAGATCACGAAGTGGTATCCTAATAGAAGGGATACAATTTAAAATAAACCCTAATAGAAGGGTTTATTTCTCAAATGGTTTAGTGTGTAAGCAATTCTCGATACTTTAAATACTTGAGCTTTCTGTTAAACACTTTTAATCCCTTTTCCTTTAACATCACATTTGTTTACATGTTTACATTCCTAATTTCCAAAAGTTATCGTCTACAAAACGTTAGTGGAGAGAGCAATTTGAGCATTACGTGAGTGAAAATATGAAGGATCACCGCTCAATTAGACTTGCATGGCGCAAGAAGAGATTGAGGAGGGACAGGAGAAGACAGGAGAAGGACAGGAGAAGACAGAAGGACAGGAGAAGGACAGGAGAAGACAAGAGAGGAGAGGAGACCCGGCAGGGTCACAGGTCAGGGACACGATCTCCTCCATCAAACCGATCCCCCTACACAACAAACACCGGCCTCATCTCTGATTTATGAAGGGGACAACTTTCTGGGATATTTGATGGCTTTTTGATTTGGAGATAAGATGGGATTTCTACAGCTAGCACTTGCTTTCCTGAAAAGTAACAAGAACAAGAAAATCTCGCTTATCTGTTTGAGTAGCAAGATTTCAGTTTGAAAAGTTTGAGTAACAGTTGGATAAGAATCGGAATCAGTTTGTGCCTTACCTCAAAACATCAAACAATCTCTAATCCTTAATTTCAATCCCTTATAATCCATTTTCCAATCTCTTTTCTCATAAATCAATTCGGGTACTCGTGAAATCGGAGAAAAAAAAAATGGTCGGGCTACTTTGTCCTCTCAATTTGTCATTGCTCTTTTCTCTTTCAATGAATTTTCGGCGATTTTTTTTGGGGAAAAGATCAACCTCCACGATACAGTAATTCTTCATCTAAATCTAGTAAAGAAAAGAGATTGAGGGAGCCTTATTGACTTGGGTTTTAGAGATCGAGAAGTCAAAGATCAATGAGTTGGTTCCTATTTGGCTAAAATAGCTAACTGACTGAACTAAAGAATGACAAATAACTTTTAAACTGTTCACAACACTTCATCAGCTCTAATCCAACCTCTTTAGAATGCGCAAAAGCGAACGGGAGTGCTCTGTGTGAATTGCAATACGTGCACGACGACGTTGTGGCGGAGAAATGGAAATGGGGAGCCTGTGTGCAACGCGTGTGGACTTTACTATAAATTGCATCAAGTGAGTGTTGAATACTGTAGATGAACATGGAGATTACTGTAGTTGAACAGACGAATACAGAAGAGCTTTTCCCTTGTAATCGTTTGAAGACCTAATGATCATTTGAAGCTTACTTTACTTAAAGTATATAAACTATTCAGCTAATTGATCTTTTGAAATTCCTTTCACTTTCAGGTCCCTCGGCCGATCACAATGAAGAAAGACGGGATTCAAACGAGAAATCGAAAGATCACTGGAAAAGGGAAAAAGCGAAGTGATGAAAATCCATGGGCAAAGGAGTTTGATGTAAGGATTTGATTTTTAGCTCTACACTACTCTGCTAATGCTTTTTCTAAATGGCACCTAATTTAGAAAACTATCGTTTACAAAACAATCGTTTATTAAAACCAGTTTTCAAATACGTATTTTGATTTCTGTGAACATTGAGATTACTGTAGTTGAACAGACGAATACAGAAGAGCTTTTTCCTTGTAATCATTTGAAAACCTAATGAATACTATAGCTGTACAGTCACTATATGCAAGACAACACTTACTAGAGTGATTCTAATGTCTTGTAGCTACAGTAACTCTATTTAGATACTGTAACCTTCTAGCCAAATTGAATGAAAATCTTTTCCAAATGAATAGAACAATACAGAAGAGCTTTTCCCTTGTAATCATTTGAAAACCTAATGAATACTATAGCTGTACAGTCACTATATGCAAGACAACACTTACTAGAGTGATTCTAATGTCTTGTAGCTACAATAACTCTATTTGAATACTATAACCTTCTAGCCAAATTGAACGAAAATCTTTTCCAAATGAATAGAACAATTCCGATTTCAGATGCGATCCTCTTACTCGACAATGTTCGGCTCTTCTTTAATGAATCCCGCCTATCACACTTCGTTCATTTATCCTGGACAATAAATTTTTTCCAAAAATCTTCTCGACAGATCCCTAAAAATTTGAAATAAATCTCTCTGTGATATAAAGATAAGAAACCAGTTCCCATTCTTGGCCAATTGCCCCCTCTCCCCCAGAGATTGTGATTCTTTACAGAGCTATTTTCTCGTATTCTCCTCTTTCTCAAATGTTAGGTGCAATTAAAATTTTTTTATTAAAAGTTTACAGTTTTTCTTTTTTTTAACTCTTAACTCTTTTCTAATCTTTGTGTGTAAATTTCCATATTTTAACGGGTCTTCTTTCAGAATTTTGAGATCCATCCCTCATCGATGCAATATTTTCGCCAATTGGATCAATTTCTTCAATTTTCCATTTCTATGCTTTTTGCCCGTGTGTTTGTGCCAAAATTGCCTTTTTTGTGATGATCAAGAAAAAGAAGAAGAGGAATAAGTTGAATAATAAAAAGACAAAGAGTTTTTGTGTTTGTTTCTGAGAATTTGATATACTTTCTTTGATTTGCTGTGAAAATAAATGTTGATATAGGTATTTAGTGGAATTGAATACGAAATATAGACAGACAGACAGACAGAAAGATAGACAGACAGAAAGACCGACAGACAGACAGACAGAAAGACAGACAGACAGAAAGAAAGACAGACAGATAGACAGACAGGGAGTTACCGTAAGACCTGTCACGATCTGATCCAGTTCTAGCATTGTTTAGGATATTGTAAAATGGATCAGAAATATCTAGCCTAACCTTCTAGTATAGGTATTACTGATATCAAGGCTTATAGTTAGTCATAGATCTTAGTCAAGGGCTTGGTGGAACTATGCCATAATATATGTTAGTAACCCCTGGAATTGCTTGTTTAGGACTCACCATGATACTGTAAACTATTGTTAGCCTCTTCTAGACAAGTACAAATGTTCCTGTATCTCTGGGAACTCTCGTTGATTCAAAAATCATGTACTTTTTCTTTTTCAAAACATAAACATCTCCCCGTCAAGAACTGGATATGTGAAATGAAAGAATGAATGTTTTCGATATGAATGAATGTTTTCGCACAGTTTTCCTCGTCACATATCTCCTCATTTCGTAGATACAGTACTCACCTCGAAATGTCCTTAAACGGGTGGAAAAGGAGGCACAAATTGTCGTTTGACACCTAAGACTAAAGAGAAAGGAGGTACAAGGTTTTGAAATGAGAAAGATTCGAAAAAGAGAAGGAGTCTCACATCAAACAGACACCCCTTGCTTGGTCTTCTTCTTCTTCTTCTTCTTCTCCTTGATCATTCCCTTTTTCTTTCCCTTCATTCCTCTTTATACCCCGCTATCTACCTGTTGATCTTCAATTCTCAGCCGTTTTACCCTCGATCCTTATCTCCTTTCTCTTCTTTTTCCTCTTTTTGGCCAGTCCTTCTTCATTCTTTCAAGTTTCTGCACAACGAGGTGCTGAAAAGCGTGAAAAATCAACAAGTGATTTGCAACAAAAAAACAAAATGGTTATTTTATTGTCTGTTGGGGATGTTAATGGTTAATGAAAAATGTAAAATTTGAATATTTTAAATCGCACATACGACGTAACGTCGCGTAGTGTCTCGAAAAGCAAATAAAGTTTATTCATTTATTCATTTTTATTCATCTTTCTCAATGAATTCGTGCGGTGGTTGCAAGCGATTTATCGGAAATGAGCCAGCCGTTTACGCCAATAGACAGGTTTGTTTGGCTGGGTTTTGTGTATTTTTATCGTTTCTTTTTGTTAAAAAGAGTTTGTTACTAAAGTGTGTTAAGTTGTTGTTAAGTAAGTTTAAGTTTTGAGTGTGTTGCTACTAAACTTAGATGAGCAGCTTGGCAATAGTTGCTTAGGCTTTGCTATTTTTGTTTAGTTGCTTAGGCTTTGCTATTTTTATTTAGTTGCTTTAGAAGTTCTTGGGGTGATTGATTGAGTTTCGTTTAGGAAAACTTTGCCACTTTCGAAAGCTTTCCGAGTATCGACGCCTGCAAATCATTATTGAATGTGGCATATATAAAAATTGAAAAACTATGTGAAAAAGAAAAGAAAAGGCAAAGTTATCAGGCCAATAATGATTTTTGACACCCCTGATATTGGGAAAACACCTCAAGTTCTTGCGTAAAAGATTGCTTAAAAATCTTTAGTAAAGTTAATCTATCCTTTACTTTAGTGCATAGAGTTTACTTGAGTTAAAGCTCATCTATTCAATGTAACTTTTGTTTTTCAGCTTTATCATCCACCTCACCTGCAATGCAAAGTGTGTAATCATCGTATCGAGGCTGGCCAAACGTGAGAGCTTTTAGTTTTTAGCTAAACCCTGCAGTATTGGCTAGTTATAATGCAGTTATATCTAATCTTAACTTTATTTTTAGATACGCAATTAATGAGGGAATAATTGAATGTCGTCAATGCCTTCTTGAGCGACATGCACCCAAATGTTATGGTGACTTTTAAACTTATGAACGTTATGCTTAAAAAATTTTTTTAGGTTGTAATGGAGTGATCGAGAGTCGCTTTGTAAAGGCAATGCATCGTCGTTGGCATCCAAATTGCTTCAAATGTGTCGGGTGAGAGTTTACAAATATATTTACCTAACTATAAGCTAAATTGTGTTAAATGAATAACTTTTTTTATTGTTTTAGATGTGGATGCACGATTGAGAGCGATTGGTTGAACGAGGCATCAATGGGATCAATGCATCGTCTCTGCTATTGGGCTTTCGTACGCGACACACAGGTTAGAAGTTTTTGTTCATTAGATAGCTCTAGCTGTGTTCAAAGCTCTATTCTCATAACTACTTTCATTGCGCGTTGAATAATTGTTGAAATTAGGAAAATTGGCTCTTAAATAAAGTTTAAAAATTTGTGTTTTTTTTTTTTAAAACAGTTCAAAGCATTGTTTAGATTGTGCAAACGAGTGCCATTAAATGAATCTCTTCCATCACATCGATCGGACCAAATCAACAATTGTCTTCTCCTTTTCTTTTTGCAGCCTTATTCGTGTATCACTGCAAAGAAACTCTTGAAATAAAGCTAATATGACTTATTTTAATAAAATGATCAATTAGAGTTACGGGTTACGGTAATCAACTAAGGGTTGCAGTTTGGCTTTAAGGCGCGTAAACCTTTGGTCGATGCTCGTAAAAAGTTTGCAAGTGAATTCACAAGTTTAAAAGTGGAAAAGCTTTAAATCTGATCTGTTTGTTCGCATCTCAAAAAAATTTTATCAGAATGGCGATGAGAAATATCCACGCAGTTTGGTTGATTTCAATTTGTGGTGCCGAAATGTTACCAGTATTACATAAATCTTCTGCACAACACGAACCACATCTGAAAATGTTGATTTAATGTTTTAGGTTTCCTGTGACAAACGCGACAAATCGATGCTCCATGTCAGCAATGTGTGTACAACTGGAAATGGGATTGAAATCGATGAAATATCCAAAGCTCTCACCCTTCTTTGCACACTTCAGAACATGATCGCTCGAAAATATACACATCACCAGAGATTTCGGATTGAACTTTCCAAACCTGTCTCATTTGGAATTTGGAATTTCATATAGACTAATACCTGACACTCTCCATCACAGCTTTTCATGCCGTGACTTCCATGAAAAGGAGTAGTAAAACAAGAAGAATTTAGAGAATCTCCGATACAATTAATACACGTTTTTGAAACAACTAGAATTCTCGAAGAAATAAAAAACAAAGCAAAAGTTCGTATCAACATTTTGATATGTATGTCATTCTTTATCCTCTTTCAGCTCTCGCAAATCAGCCGCTATTGTTGTCGGAGTGTTCAGAGCAGAAAAAGTTTAATGTGTAGGCTTTCTCCAATACATTTATTTCAAATACTAATATTACATGACAAAGGAGAATTGGCAAAATCCTATGTGCTAATTTAGCGTTCTACTTCCAAAATTACGAAATCTACAAGCTAGTACTCTAAATGTAAAAAATGAGGCGGTACGAGCGCATAAATTTGTTTGCCTTTTTCGGCTTTCTAGACTTTCGCGGGGTACTGTACTTTGGTCTCTTCGGGAAGCGGACGGAACAGGCTAAAAGTATATGTAAAGCAATAAAAGAAAATCAATACTTGTTTAAGCAGATCGATTTCGGAGGCATTAAAACTGTGGCAGCTGGAGTCTTGGCGGTGACAGAGCGAGGCGTTTCTAAAATAGGCACCGTAAAAACTCTAATAGAATGGCTGGCCGTTCTATTTTTTAACAATTTTTATCCATGAGTTTTTTGGAATTCAACCAATCTCAAAGTGTCTAACTTTTTCATTATAACTTTATTATGCAACAACCAACTAAGCAATTACCCAAAGGAAAGATAATGAAAACATCATAAAAAGTTAGCAATTTATTCCCTTAAAAGCCGTCGTAGCCGACCGGATAGGAGTCTTGTCTCCTAGTCGGGGAGTCAAAGGTTCGATCCCAGCGACCAGAAAAATTGGTTCCTTTTCCCCTCATTATGGGTCTTTTCTTAACAACATTTGGGTAATAGGGGTAACTAAGGGTAAAAGTTTCCTCCGTTGTGTTGTAATTCATTATTCGCGTCGAATAAATATAATTTTGTCGTTCCTCCAGGCACCACATATGCGTTTTTAAAAGCTCGCAATACTTACCGGCACCAAAATCTGGAGGCACGGCGGTAATCAGGTCTTCAGTTTTACTCTCCTCAAAAATTTGTGAAATCGAAGTGGAAAGTAAATCGGGATCCTGAAGGAAATTTTAGAGCAGAGAAAGTGCAATTTTTACCATAAATTTCGTAGTCGAGCCGTTAAAGCGTTTGGGTGAACCGATAGATTCTGTTGCCTGTTCCTCGTAAAAATCCTCAAGTTCTCCTTTTGGCACACCAACACAAGCTTCTCCAAGCTAAAACCTCTGGCCATTTATTCGACAAAACTAGAAATAACCTTGCTTTTAAGTTTATTCAGAAAGCTGTTCAATGAGGAGCGAACATCGTGAATTTCATTTACACTCTTTTCCAAGCCTAAATACTAGTGTAAACTAAAAGCCAAGCAAGCTCACCAAAAAGTTGTGGAATCTCAGAAGCAAGTTGCAGAGTATCTACAGCAGCACCAATAAAGAAAATCGACTAAATTTAAACGGTTAGCTTCTAAATATTTAATAAAAATAAACCCGTGAAAAATTGGCTAAAATGTGTCCTGAAGGATAATGCTCGTCATCGATCGTTGCCACAACTCTCAAAGCCTTGCGCTCTTTTGCTTCAAACTAAAAGGATACAAATTCTTAGTTGGAAAATGTTCAGCAAAATATACCTGTTTGCTTACATGCTCGACCACACGGGTAATTTCACCAAGTTTTGTGCGTTGTTCAGTAGCATGACGTCCTTGTTTGTAGAGATGATGATCCAACTAAAAACAGTTAAACCATCAAGCATTCACAGTCACTTACCATCGCGAGATTTCGGGTTTGCATGGCCAACTTGGCAAGACGGCGCTCGACATCTGTAGCTTTTTCTTCTTTGTTGGAACTAAATTATGCGTGCAAAAGAATAATAAAATCAAAGTTACTTCATGGGTTCAATAACCTCGCAGTTGGGTAAATTTAGGAGTTGTTTCTCGGCTATGTGAATGTCCCGACGCCACATCTCTTCAGTAATTGGAATCGTGGATAAAAGCTAAAAAAAAACATAAAAATAAAGAGTTAGTCGGAAAAGGGTTACTTCTCTATAGCGTTTAGCGGTAAGCAGCCGCAATCTCGCAACACGGGTGCACAAGTTGCTGATCTGTTCTGTAATCTCGTCCGTACACCTAAAAGGATTCATAATCAGATGTAAAAGTAAAGATGTTAAACTTGAAAAACTTTATATGAACCACCATCTAACTTTGAACACATCTAACTATTGCTTGCTTTACATGTTAAATAAAACAAACTTCAACACACCGGGACTTAGGTCTGCCCTTCACATATCACAATTTTAAAAAACTCACTTGAGTTCCAGTTCGAGAAGTTGCTTTTGATATTGAGCCTTGCTCAACTTTTCTTCGAACGCGGTTTTAGGCACAACAAAAGATGGAGCAAGAGCCATGGCCTAAATTAAAAAGTAAGTTATAGACAAAACAGACATGGGTAATGAAGAAGTAAAAATTTACCGGCGGTTCGGCAGCGGGAAGACCGGTAGAAGAAGAAAACATTGACAAGAACGATGTGAAAATATTTCCACCAGAAAAGAAACGACAACGACAAATGCATATTTGTTGTAATTAAACCAGTTTAAATATATTTAAATATATATGTCGTGACTGCAAATCTACAGTACATTCCATTACTGTCGCGATCATTCGCGCAAAATTTTTCATTTTCATTTTTTGTTTTTGTTGGCCCGCGAGTTATTGTGAAATATCAACGCTCGTTAAATCTATGAGTTTATAGCTTTCCCGGTGATACTGTGAAAGAAACCTATGCATCATCATTACCTGCTGCGCATAACTTTTATTAACCAGGCAGGGCTAAGTCAAATGTACGTTCTTTCCACCTTTTCTTTTTGTTTTTATCCAATTTGTTACCGCTTTTATCTTTTTAGAGTTTGTCATTGTTCGTGCTAACATGGAACAACATCTGGAAGCCAACACTCGTACGCGCGAAGTGCCATCTTTGGCTTTGGTTGAGCGCTCGCCTGATGGGGGTTACATCATTCCACAACTTTACGATGAAGGTTATGGCTCAAACAAGACCAGCCCTGCCAAGGTAAAAATGCTTTCATTTTTTAGTACTTTATCTGTCCCAGGATATGCAAGCTGTGAGAAAATGTTGGCCTGAATCGCCAACTTTTGTGCCACGACATGAAGAGCTCCCAATGGGTCCAATGCTTAAAAGCCACTATGGTTTCAACGCTTTCAATCAGGTCCAACTCAACGAGGGGCCAATCATGGATCATCGTGGGTAAAAAAACACTATGTGTAATGTTCAATGTTTAGAGCGCGCAAGTTTCAACAACCACTATTACGCTCTTCTTGGAGGTGGTGATTCGCTTAGTCCACAAATGCCAATTCCATGTGGAGCCGAAATCTACGCTCGCAAAGTTTTTATCGGAGGGTTGCCTATCGATGTCAAAGAAGGTTGGAGATTTTGTATATACAATAAAGTTAGTGTTTTATCTTTAAGCCGACATTTACAACACCTTTCGTCACTTCGGCAAGATGATTATCGATTGGCCAAGGCGTTCGGAGAAGGAAACTGTGGCGGCCGCAACAAGTGCTCGAACGATGTAGGCATTTTTAAAATACTCTTTTTCAAATAAAATGTTATTTGACAATGATTTAGGTCAGGATATGTTTTCCTTGTTTACGAGAGTGAGGCTAGTGTGCAGATGTTGGTCAACAAGTGCTACAAAGACAATGATAAGTAAGTTTGTTTGTGTTTTTCGAAGATGCCTTTTTTTTTAGGCTTTTTCTCCTTGTTTCATCACTAACAATGCGCAACAAGCCTGTTCAAGTTAGACCATGGAAGTTGTCTGACACGGATTACATTGTTGACAAAAATGCAAAGATGTGGGCTCGGCGCACAGTCTTCATTGGAGGATTACCTCGTCCAACGCGTGCTTGTAAGTATTCACTCAGTGGAACTATTGGAATTGTTACTTCTAGGTGATTTGGCGGCAGCAATCGAGGATCTCTACGGACATGTGGCTTATGTGGGAATCGACATCGATCCCGAACTAAAGTACCCAAAAGGAGCAGCTCGTGTTGTCTTCTTCACGTCGGAATCGCTTGTGGCTGCTATCAGTGGAAAATATGTGCACATTCCACATTCAGAAGTTCAAAAACGAGTGAGTAGTTCTTTTGAGGCTTAGTAGTGTTATTTGCTAAAATAGGCTACAAAACAAGTTTTGTTGTCACTAATTATGAAATAATTTAGCTCGAAATCAAGCCCTATGTGATGGATGAACAAATGTGCGACGAATGCGAGGGGCGTCGTTGCGCAGGACGCTATGCTCCATATTTCTGCGGTGATTTTGATTGCATGCAGGTAGAATGTTGATTAAAGGCTGACCTTTATAGTTTTATTCAGTACTTTTGCGAGATTTGTTGGGACATGGTTCACACGGACGAAGATCACAAGTTCGACCACAAACCATTGGTTCGCTGTGGTGAGCAGACTAAGGTTGGTGTCAGCTTTTACTATTAGCTCGCTGGCAAATCATCTAGTATAACGTACGTCTTTAGCAATTGGCTCGCCCACCTCATCATGGACCTCAACACGGTGCTGCTCGCAATGGATCTGTGGGACATCATAGCCTTCGCTCGCGCCATGGCCACTATTTCTAATTCCCTTCTGGTATCTTACCCCGGGTTAAATTTGATAGCTTTGTATATTTTCCTCGTTTCGGTTTTTGGTGTTTGTAATCCTTTTGTGATCCATCCTTGCCTGATTGTCGCCCATTCCCATACTGTGATTTTTGGTCATCATCTAGGACCATTGTTGTTTTAACACTATTTTTTTATGTTTATTGTGGATTTATGAGTCTTGTAAATAGATTTTTTGGAGTATTCGTTTTCCGGCAAAGTTGCAATGGAAGTCGCCATCAGCACTAACCGCCACAGCAGAGTTCGTATGCTACGCTCCGGGGAAAGTTCCTGCGGCGCCTCTGATCTTTCCGGCAAAACGCCCGTAGTTTTCCCACTGTGCGGACTTTTCCTCGGAGCGTAGCATACGGGCTCAGGCTATCAATAGTAGTACTTGATAATAGTTTCAAAGTGAAAAGAATGACGGTGTTATATTGAAACACGCTAGGCTTTGTTTGTTATCCTGTTGGGCAAACCGAGAAAACATTTTCAAAATGGATTCTAATAGATTAAAACTGGAGAAACGTGTAAGACCGCGATGGAAGAGGAGGGGGTGCTTGCTAATTTTACATATTGTCTGAATTCGAGCCAATTTGCATGCAAAAACTCGACCGTTCTTCACAAGAAAGGCAAGTGTTTTTCTCGTTTTTTTATAACATTTCTTTTACCTAACTTCTATTAATTTTATAAACTCTACCTTAAATTACATAGCGTTCTGTTAACTGTTTTTTTTTCGCGTGTTACTGAGACCGTTAATATTTTAAACTGACCCATAAATTTGGGACCATGACGATTGCGCCGCGAACATTGCGCCGCAAGCCAAAAACGAAAATTGCGCCGACGAATTTTGCGTCGAAAGACCAATTTTCGCCTCTAGTCTTGCGGGGCAAATTTCGCAGCGCTATTTTCCCGGTGCAATTTCGCTTCTGGTCTTTCGGCGCAAAATTCGTTTTTGGCTTACGGTGCAATTTTCGCGGCACAACCGTGATGGTCCCATAAATTTTATCTTTATCTATTCTGTACTTGATTTAGCGTAGCAATGTCTTCAAAGCCGATCTTCATTCTTCTCGGATGTCTGGTCACGCTGAGTGTCTCTATCAAGCATGAAGCGGATGTTAGTTTCTTTTGTACATAGCATTAATCTATCATTAGTTCATTAGCTAATCTATCATTTTGTTTATGTGTAATTAAGATATTGCATACTTATTTTAATTTTAGGGTAGTATGACGCACGATCACAAAGGGCTTCGCTCTTACCGCAGTGCTCAAATGAATGAGATTGAAGAGCTCAGGTTCACACATTTTTTTGGTACTTCTTTATTTATGCTTTTAGAAGAGAAGTTCGCGATCTTGTCGAGTCTATCCGTGGTCAATGGAAGAACAATTCAGAAACAGATGTTGGAGTGAGTTGTTTACAGTTCTGCCACTAAATGCTCTTGTTTAGGTTAACTCAAGGAACGAACCACACGACGTTGGCAAGAACGAAAAGAGGCAATTCCCTTCAACCCTCAGTCATTTCGACGAGACTTCAACGCCAACTGTTCCTTCGAAAACCCCATCCGTTTGGCCTTGGCCTGCCGAAGACATGCTCGACCACCCAGCACCGACTATCAAGGATCCTCCAGCATCATCGCCTCTACACACCTATCCCCTTCCTCGTTCAAATGAAAGTGCAGCTGAATGGAATAAGGTTTAGTATCAATTTATTTACAAGCATAATTTCATTCTTTAGGTGTTGCTTCAAGCCAAATCCCACGATATTTTCGATCAAACAATGCAGCCGATTCCCAAGGACTTTGTGGACTGGCAGAATCAGTAGTAGGTAAGTGTTTTCGTGTCTTTGGCTTTAATAGAAAATTTCCTTTTGTCACTTTAGTTTTATTTTAGATCAACGAATGATACTCATCTGTTCATCCGGGCAATTTCTACACGACCCCATAAAAAAGCTTTTTGTATCATTGTCGTGAAATAAATATTTGAAAAAATATGCAATGATGCTAGACCATCAATATACATAGTTTAGAAAACATTCATTACTAAATTAGTGTAGCATTAGTTTTAAAGCAATTAAATGGGGTTCTTTTTAATGATTCAGTGAATTGAGACATGAACCAGCAACCACATGCATTTTTGAGCAAGAGGCTTCTAGAAGAATCTTCCAACCATTTTGGGCTTTTATCGGCTTTTATTTCGTATAGAATCCAATCATTATTCTTTGACTATTTTAGTTTTAGTTTAGTTGTTTTTAGTTAACTTTATCGTGGGATTCATTTCTTCGTCTTTTTGGCGTTTATGTTTTTGGTCCGTCTTTAAAAACGCTAAAAAAAGTTAAACCAGTCAAAAAGAGTCAAAAGGAAAAAGTTTACTAATGTTTTATATTCCGTAATCAACGAGTACTATGACAAAATCTAACGTAACCTTTGCTTTAGATTTTGTTCATTTTAATTTTGATCCTAATTAATTCACAGTTTGATTCCTCATCGAGTGAGATTATAATTAGGTCAGTTAGTTGGGCAAAAATTGCAGAAAAGATTACGCTAGTCTCCTAAATTATCTACCTTTTACCTTTGAGAAAGCGTAAAGCGGGAATAGACTCTGGCTTAAGCTTTGCATTCAACTCGTGTTCCCCGTCCTCTTTCCCTTCTCTTTGCCATTCTCTATTCTCAGCTGGTGGGTCTCCTCTTCCCTTCCCTTTATCCTTTCTCCATCTTTTCCCCTTTTCCATTTCGGTCTGCCATCGATTTGCTCGAGGGGTTCTCCCCCCTTTTCCCCTTTCCCCTAAAGCTACTTTTCATAAACCTTTAACTTTTAAAAAACCAAACACTTAGATCTCTTTCCTGGCAATTTCACTGAACTAAACACTTTTCAACAATCAACTCAACGAATGCTTCATGAATGACGGTTTCTTCGGTTCGCTACAGTGCTTTGAAACAAGAGGAACCAGGTAGGGAAACGGTGAATGCAGATCTGTAGAAAGCTGCTTTTTATCAGGCACCTCTGAATCGGTGGAGATGCAATTTGGCACCGATCCCGATTATTTCAAATCAGCTTTCACTTATGCCAATTACAATGATCTTGATAGGATGGGATATCAAGCACCGCCTAGGTGAGTTGATGAATGAAAATTGAACCGAAATTTTTTCAAGATACGGCCGTTGGACAGGCCGGAGTGCCGGCCGATTCACGTGGAAAATCCGCGAGACTTGGGATGAAGAGGATGAACAAGTTGAGCAACGGCCATTGTCACCGATAGGTTTCAAAGGAATATAGACCAGTTGCAAAAAGAACATTCAGAAATGATCCTAGTGGCTCTGGCTTTTATTTTGACGATAGCAACACTGCCATTCTCGTTGATTTTCACGTTAAAGGTGAGAAGGTTTGCTGAAATTCTGGAAAAATCTTTCAGTTGGTCGGCTCAACCGAAAAGTTGGTTGTGCTGCGCTTGGGGCGAGCGCTGAAACCCCGAGGTCCAGGACCGTCTTTCGTTTTGCCTTGTGTCGATTCAGTTCATCAAATTGACACGAGATTGGCCGCATTCTCGGTCCCACCATTGAAGGTAAAAAAAAAAGAAATCAAAAGTTATCAGTATGACGATTTCAGGTGATTACCCACGATCGTGGATTGCTTGAACTAGGCGCTACGGTCTATTTGAGAGTTCGAGATGTTATAGCGTCTGTTTGTGAAATCCAGGTGGCTTAGAATTCTCTCAAAATGAGCACAAACGGGTTTTCCAGGATCGAGATTCGTCGACGAGAACGCTCGCCTCGACATTGCTCTATCGACACGTGAGAGAAACGAGTTTCAAACACACAAAATGCTTTACCATTTCAGGTTCAGAAAAAACGAGTTTGTGACATGAGCCACGCCCATCAAAAGAGAGAACTCGCTGCAACGGTAAAAGTAAGGAAATAAATGGATTTTATCACAAAAGTCATACTCATATCCAGGATGAATTGTCTGCTTTCACACAACAATTCGGCGTCGAGATCACAGAGGTTGAACTGTCTGAGATAAAGGTTTCCTATTTATTGTTCAAAGTTAATCTTTTCAAATGAAAATTTCAGGTTTTAAAAGTTGGAGAGAATATGGGAATGGCAGCACTTTCTGCAGTAGCAAAATCTGAAGTAGGTCAACAAATTTGGAGCGTCATTGGTCCCACATTGGAAGAAATAGCCAAAGAGACACGAGATCAGCCAGAGGTGAGATTGATTACAAGTCACCTCGATATGCAATAGGGTTTAGCCAGAAGAATACACATCTATTTCTCTCATTGATGTCGGCGATATCAATGAAACGGAGAGACCCATTGCTACCGAGAAACCCATTGCTACCGAAAAACCCACTGCACCAGCCGTTGATCTAAATCATTTAATCACAATCATCAATATGGGTATTGATGATTCCCTGACAAACACCATCGGCAAAGTCAGAACCAAGAATTGAACCCAATAAAAAAAGGTTTTAGGTTTATCAAATTTATTGCAAAGGATATGATCCGTTTTACATTGATCTCAAACATGGAAGTGGAAAAGCCGAGAAAGGGAAATGCCACAATCCGTAAGTCCAAAAACGTATAATTTTAAGCTAGAGTATTTCAGAGATGTTGTTTTACATGTCGAAAGCTCGGCGTTGACCGGACTTTTATCCGGAAACATCTCACCGCTTTCGGCATACATGAATGGTTCACTAAGGATAGAAGGTTCAGTCCAAGATGCCACTTCCCTCTCTCATCTCGCTCAAAGAGTGGCTCATCTTCTTTAGAGCCGTCTGTGTCATTTGTGTCATTAACAATTGTGTCTTCGTGTGCAAACAATAAATTGGACAAAAAATTTCATTGCAAGAGAATAATAATTATGAACCGCAACAACATTCACCAAAAGCAAGAGAATGTTTCTCCCAATATTTTATGTTCCGGGGCACGCCACATCATCGTAATACCGTAAAAGACACCAGTACAAGTTTTAGCTAGAGAAAAAAGAATTTGTATCTGATTACGATAAACGAAATGTGTTGATTGATATTTGGGAAAGACGAAATACAGCATGGAGTAACGTGCACGGAAGGCTATATCACAAGTAATCAAAGGCATTTTAGAGCCTTGTAAAGAACATGCGTACACAATGAAGAACAAAAGAAAATATTTAGTGGATAAATTAGTCGCCAACCATTCCTTAGACCTTAGCCAATTGATTGGATAGCCAGTCAAGACCCTCATAGAGACCATGTCCTTGAGTTGCGCAGGTTGCTTGGATGTACCACTAAAATTGTAAAAATTATCTACGCACAACCTATAATCTACATAAATCTATATAATTGGACCTAGAGTGGTAAAAAGGATTTTTGTTCCTTATCACTAATCTTCGTTTTCAGGGATCAGCTTCGCTAAAATGAAACAAGAACTCTCGACCGCAAGAATTTTGTTTACCAACTGCGAGAATAGCATAAAATAGGAAATATGTATATTACCTGACGGGAACGAAGGTTGTGGAGACCAAGCTTGTCGGTCAATTCAGCAGCTGACATGGCATTCGGAAGATCCTAAAAATATTGATTGAAAATGACAAGCTTTCAAAAACATCTTTCACAGTCTCCATAGTAGCAGAGCGCAAATCTGCGCTTTGTCTCTCGTTAATGTAGCAAATTAGCATACCTGTTTGTTGGCAAAGACAAGAAGTGTAGCATCTCTCAATTCGTCTTCATTGAGCATTTTATGCAATTCCTCTCGTGACTCCTCAATACGCTCTCGATCATTTGAGTCAACCTAAACAATCCATGAGTCATCCATACCAAAATCAATGCTCGCATACAGAAAAATCTCCAAATTAACTTACAACAAAAATCAAGCCTTGTGTGTTTTGGAAATAGTGTCGCCAGAGAGGACGAATCTTGTCTTGACCTCCGACGTCCCAGACAGTAAAGGAAATGTTCTTGTATTCGACAGTCTCAACATTGAAGCCTAAATAAATCAATACTTAGACCTTTAAAAAGTAACTCTAACCAATTGTAGGAATCGTGGTGACAATCTCGCCAAGCTTCAATTTGTACAGAATCGTCGTTTTACCCGCAGCATCCAAACCGACCATCAAGATTCGGACCTAAACCAATACTTACAAAGACAAAACAAAAAATTTAACTTGTTTTTTGCCAAAAAGGCGGTTGAAAAGTCCCGAGATTGTCAATCCCATTCAAGCTGGCCTTGTTTCACCTGAAATACACAGTATAAGTAATGGATAATTACTGAATCAAAAGAAATCCAAGAATGGAAACGAAATGAATGAACTGGACATTAGCTTGTCACGTCGCAAGCGAACGTCACACGTGTATGGAAGCAATTTCGTTTCGAGACAATCCGGCAGACAGAGAAGGTGCAAAACTACGGTCAATGGAGCAAAAGAAAGAATGGAATTTCGTTGGGAATCGTTGAAAAGAGGCATGCATTATGAAACAACAAGGCCATTCATTAGTCAGCGAGTTTTAAAGTTTGTGAAAGATGTACGCGAGGCTTTATAGCAACTAGTGTGGCAAAAAGATAACGTCCTGACTTTTCTTTCGAAATAAAAAAGACGTTGTGTGAGGAAGAGAATAAAAAATCGCGGAAGAAAGAAATGATAGTTATGGCGACAAAGTAGTACAAAAACAACCTTATAGTAAAATAGCTTGAACAATAAGCAAGCTTTAAAATGAGTATCTATATCAAAACAAATATTACCTAATATTGTTGCAACAGAGTTGAAAGCTCACTTTTAAAAACCTGTCCTAGGCAGATTTTAACGGGCGTTTGATGACAGTGCTCTTTCTTTTTAGGTCGCTTAATCTTTTCTGGCATTTAATTTTGTATTTATTTTAGACAGACGATGCACAAGCTGACGCTGACGGAAGAGCTTCAAAAAATGTACAATGTGGCCCAATTTTCTAGCCCGGATTACCCCGCCGTCTTTGCGATAATTGCAGGTACTTTTTGCTTTATTTAATGAAAGTAGCTTAATTTTTTGAGACTGGTGTTATCAGATAGGTATTCTTTTTTGAAGTGTACACGACTTAGAAACTTGACGGAATTCTTATTGAGAAGATTAATACAGTGACTTTTGCTTTAACTATAAAAGCGTTTTATTCTATTCAATGCTGACTTTTGGTTCCAGTGACCGTTTTTATATAAAAAGCGTACGATTTAATGGTGCCAGATTCTAGACTTTTTGATTCGTTAAATCAGTAAATTAAGGCAAACTGCATTGATAATCTTTTTAAATGAGAGGCGTGTAAATTTATCAAAAAAACTTACTCATGTGTGATTTAGCAGTTTTAACTACTTGTTTTGAAACTTTTTACTTGTTTTACTTGTTTCAGGTACGACAATTGTTTTGACGTTAGCTCTAATCTATATCGCGGTCTTCTTTTGGAACATCGACTCTAGACATGACTCAATAATTTATCGATTAACGGGAATTCGAGCGAAAAAGGAGTAAACTGTTTTTTTTAAAATTCCATCTGTGCAAAACTCATTTTTATTTTTGTATTACTTAAGGCTATTTTAATAAAACGTTCTTATTTTTCGTTGTCAAGGCCCTCGGTTGCGGATACGCCTTTTACCTTGTACATGTTTATTGGTCGCTTTTGTTTGCTATCAGAAACGGGGTTTTGGGCTAAACTTACTTTCACACCTTTTTGCTTACACAATAATATCTAATTTTGTTAAAAAAATTTTTTTAATTTAACTTTTAGTCATGGGTAAATTTTTATCAAAAATTTTTGGAAAGAAGGAGATGCGAATATTAATGTTAGGTTTGGATGCAGCGGGAAAGACAAGTAAGCTCTTTCTTTTGTTTTAATCTTTTTATTTTAGCAATACTCTACAAACTGAAACTTGGGCAATCTGTGACGACGATTCCGACTGTTGGATTTAATGTCGAAACAGTTACCTACAAAAATGTCAAATTTAACGTTTGGGTAAGTTTTAATGTAACGCGAAATAAACACATTATTGTTTAGGATGTTGGTGGTCAAGACAAGATTCGTCCTCTTTGGAGGCATTATTACACAGGTTGGTCTTTTGAATAATTATAACCTAAAGTTTTAAAGTTGTTTAATAATTTAAATGGTGAATTTTATGGCATAGTAGTGTGCCTTTATCAAAAGTATCTTACTAAAACTTTAGGCAGTCAGGCACTCATTTTTGTTATGGATGCAGCTGATCGCGAGCGGTAATTTTTTTGCAAAATGTTTGGCTAATTTTTGTTTTGTTTAGAGTTGATGAAGCTCGACAAGAATTGCATCGAATAATCAATGATCGGGAGATGAAAACAGCCATAATTTTGGTATTCGCTAATAAACAGGATTTGGCGGAAGGTATTTGTCTCTTACTTTCACTCCCGTTTTAACAACAAGTTTTAGCGATGAAGCCTCACGAGATTCAAGACAAACTTGGGTTGACACGTATTCGTGATCGAAATTGGTAAGATTTTCAATATTTGTTTAATCTTTCAACTCGTAAAAATTTAAGTTAGGTACAACTTTATCATAAATTCGTTGAAGTGTTGTTGTGTACAATGTACTTATAGCCTAAATTTAGGTATGTTCAACCGTCATGTGCTTCATCAGGAGAAGGTCTCTATGAAGGATTGACGTGGCTCTCCGATAACTACAAGCCATGAAAGTAATACCCATCAAAACTTTTCTAAGCCCAGATAAGTGAACAGCCCATATTTCTAAGCGTTTACCTCACTTCGAGTTTCAAGATATGCGCTGATCCATGCAATATCTTTGCCTTAATTCACCAAGTTGATATCGTGAAACATTCTAAACTTACCTGTGATATAATATCTATTTCCTTTTCTTGAAGAACTGTAATGCACTTCATCTACCTAAGTTTTGCCATAGTCTTTGTTTTGCCCTTCCAATACTAGGTGCTTTTTATGATAATTGCCGTACTTGTTATATTTTTTTGGGTGTCTGAAATAGCTGCCGAAATTTGACTATTTATGAAGTGAATTTGCGATAAAGTTTTGTACATATTTAATCTTTGTAAAGAAATCATTTAATAATATAAACCGGAGAAAAATTTACAGGCTGAGATTACTATTAGGCTGCCCAGAAAGTCTTTTCGTCTCTCTCTCGCTATGTCTCTGGGAGTCGAGGGATCTAAGTGATCGTGGGTTCTCTTTCTTCGCTTCTCTACTATTGATTACTGAAAATCCCAAATGAAATACTATTTTATTCTTTTTTATTTTTGATTTCTTTGAAAACTGCCGAAAATTGATCCAAAACTCGTATTCGGCATGTGATACTATTTTGCTTCAAAAAATTTTATTCAAACGCTGCCTGCGAAACCGAAATCAACAATGTTTATGGGGATGTATTAGTGAGTCCGTGTACAATTCAAAAGTGATACCATCGCTTTAAAATGAATGATTTTTGGCTTGAAGACGAGCCGAGGCCAAGGCGTTCGAGTGATTTTGATGAAACGGCTCTCGTTAATCTCATTAAAGAGGACAACAAACAAACACAAACATTTGACTATTTAACTTGAGTGTGATCATGTTACAGTCATGACCATCTCCATGCATTCCGCTACACTTCCAAATTTGAGACTTTGGTTCCACATGAGCTGTCTGATCGCATGAAATAGCAGCTTCTCTCAAACTCGTCGCTCTCTTTACAAGATATCTTTACAAAGTCTTTTTTCCCATCTGATTACAGGCGATGAAAAATGGGTGCTTTATGTCAACTACCGAAGGCATAAGCAGTGGATTAATTCTGGAGAAAAACAAACCCCGAGCTCCACCAGAAGAAGATCATGCTATCAATTTGATGGGATACTGAAGGACTGCAAGACTATTGGAAGTTGCTATCTAAAGGGATAACTATTACAGCATTATTATACCCCAATCAACTAGATCGGCTCGCTGATGAAGTTATTAAAAAGAGCCCAAGAAGGGGAAGGTCATTTTGCAACACGACAATGCCAGTCCTCATATTGCAAAGTTGAGCAAGGGAAAAGCTGAAGGCTTTGGGCTGGGAGGTTTTCCCTAGGAGGATTTTCATTTTTTTCGGAAGATGGCCGCTGAATTGGAGAATGAGCACTTCGATGAAGAGGAAGTTGAAAAATGGCTGAGCTGCTTTGCTCACCAAACTCACACGTTTTGGGAGAAAGGCATCCATGCTCTGCCGTATAAATGAAAACAAGTGATACTTAATAATGGTGAATATATAGCATGTATAAATGTTTTGGTTTTCAAGAGATTACAATTCAAAAACTAAGAAAAGAATCTCTGAGCAGCCTAATATTAGAATTAATTAATTAAAATAAAAACTAAAATTTGGTTATGAATGTCAGCTCCAGAGTCAGTCAGTTTTCATTTTCTATTATTCTCGATCGTTGAATGGGATGGCGTGTGAGAAATGGTTGCTGAAAATACTCGTGCTGCTCATCTTGGTGCCTCCCGTTGCCGCCAAAGTGCCCGCATGGGTTATGTTCATTTTTCTTTGTTGTAAGTGCTTTTGAAAATAATAACATTAGACGTTAATGAAATATTTGTCTTTAGTTCTCTTGTTTCTCTTCTGTTGTTGCCTTTGTCTACCGTGTTGCATCATTTGCTTATGTTGTAGATAGGTGAGTGTATTCAATTTCCATTTTCCTTTTTACAGCTTCTAGATGATCAAACCTTTGCCAATCTCAAAGGATTTCTCAACTTTTTGAACGAAAGCATTTTCTCATTTAAAAAAACGATTTCAACCTTTTTAATAAATACGTTTTATCAACTTTTAGTTGTACAAATTTATTCTTATCAAAAAAAAATCGACAATTTGAAACACTTGAGTGAATCTTCAAAGGGTGATAAATACAATGGAAATATATAGGAAGAAATGCAGTCTGAACAAAAGAAAACACATTGACTATCGGCAAAAAAACGGTTATTTGGCAACTTTTTGCGTTTATTTTTGTGTATATGGGTGTCTTCCTATGGAAAAATCGACCCGCAACATCGAGGGAAAAAGAAGAAAATCGGTGAAAATGATGAGAAAAGGCTTGAGCCAATTAGATTTCTTGAGTTCTACCAAATTTCAGAAAAACGTCATTATCAAACGGAAACGGAGCCTCGTAACGACTAGCGACTACGCAACTTTATGATTCCATTGATAATGGCGTTTTTCTGAAATGAACTAGAGTAATTTCTTGAAAATTATCCAGAAAACCAGGCTAAGATTTAGAAAGTTCAGCACCATGAGAAAGGGCAATTTTTTTTTGTGTTGACAAATATTTGAACAAGATGAAAATAGACAAAACAGATAAAATAGAAAAAAACAATAGAAAACAATAGAAAACAATAGAATAGAAAAAATAGATTTCTTCGGGGACACATGCAGATCACAGTTTCAGCGTGAACACAGAAAGAATGAATAATTCTTTGGAAGAAATTGAAAAATGGAGGATTACGGTGGTTTGTCTGACTGTCTGGGTTACGGTATTTCGACTGTCTGTGTTACGGTAACTTGTCTTCCAGCCCATTTTTTCAATTTCCTCTTCTTTACCAAAAATATCATATTGATTTCATTTCATTTCTTTTCTTTTTTTAAATTTTTTTATTTATTTCCATCTCATTGAGTGAGCACAACACCTCGATATGGGCCTTGCATTTTGAGATACTGTAAAGTGGATTCATTCAATAGTCTTTATTATATTCTTACTTGAATGACGAGTGACGGTCCGCCGGCGGTGATTTCCGGGGGAATTTGCGAGAGTGGACAATTCTCGATACTCATTATTTCGAGAGAAGAACACAAAGCCAATTCAAAGGGAAGATTGTGCAAAGAGGAATTGTCATTTAAATAGAGACTCTTCAAACAATCGAGATGACCTGCAATTGCTGGGGTTTAGCTCTTTCTTATGAAATACAGTCGACATACAACGATTTTGAAATTCTAAAGCACGTTTCTTGGGCTACAAAGTAATGTTTTCAACTTTTCAGCTCATATTCTATGAAATTGTCAACATTTCCCAGCTACCGTAACCCGTCCGAAACGTCCGTGGTTTGACCATAGATCTACCGTAGAAGCTATTTGGACCACGGGCTACGCTATCGATGTTTTTTATCTATTCTTATTCTAGTTGATGTCACAGTAATCTTTACGAGTACGGTAGAAACTAGCTGGTTTACTGTAACACCTTTAATTCGGTTACGAGTTACGGTAGCCGGATCATGCTTTAAAGTTCCTGCTAATTGGAAAAGTTTGCAAGTGTTTATTGCACCAAATTGTAGTTTACTTTAACTTAACTTTAATTTTCAATTTTTCAATATCTAGATATTTTGCTTCTTTTGTCAACTCACCAATTTCTTCAGGAATTGACGCCAAATTGTTCTCGCCGACGCGGAGATCCTGGAGGGCGGACATATTACTGAAAATATGGAAAAGGTATACTATAATTAGAGCAATTATAGCAATTATAGCAATTATAGCAATTATTCAATATCTAACGAAAATCTCGATTCACTCACCCAATCGTCCTCGGCAAATTGACGAGTTTATTCGATTGCACCCACAATTTCGTGACGTTTACGAGGAAACCTAAAAAAACACTATACAATATACTAATTTCTATAGTAGATGCCGTAAATACTGTAATAGTACCCCACCCTTCCCTCGTACAGTCGCGTAGTCGCAAAAGTTTTTTGGTATTTCATTTTTTTCAAAGCGCCCGTACTTTCAAAAAATGCGTCTTTGGTATCAAAAAATAGCTGAAATGCAGGGCTATTTTTTGATACCTAAGCGCGCATTGTAGCATAAACCAGTGTCGAGAAAAACTCGTTCAAAACTAGACTACGCAACACTCCGCACCGTCATTATGGGGATGGGGTACTATTACAGTATTTACGGTAGTTTAAAATAGCATTTTCTTATCGAATCACTCACCAATTTCACTCGGTATCGTGTCCAATTCGTTTTCCTCCAAATCCAACTCTCGCAACTTTTTCAAATTCCCAATTTGCGAGGGCAATTTTCGGAGTTGATTATTGCTCAAGACAAGCACCTGAAAGAAATCAAATTTCATCATTTCACGGGAATTCTTTACTTCTAAATTAATGAGCTTTTCAATGTCCTCCGGCAAAACTTTTAGCTGATTCGTTGAAAGATTCAATTCGGTTATCGATGTCCAGGTGCCCATATCTGAAATGGATTTCGTTTAAAAGGAAATACTTTTATTCACACGTGGTACAAACAAGACAAAAGCACAATCCCTTAGCCGAATATATTGGGGGAAAAGAACCCATTTATGAGAAAAGAAGAGGCAATAAGGTGGCTGGTGGGATTGAACCCTAGCGACGGGATTGATCTACCGACTAAGATACAGGGCTCTTAGCCAGTTGGCCATGGCGACGGTGTCAAGGGCAAGAATTACCGTATTCTCTCTAATAGTAGTCCACCCCCGGCGAGCCGTGTTGATCACTATTTTAGTAGTTGATTTTTCTAAGTTTTTACAGAAGCTCAACACTCAAATCCCCCACAAGATCTAATGCTAAAGATTTATGTTATAGCTCGAAAAATTCCCCTATCTTTCTACTTTAATTCCTACTCCCTATTCCTATTCCTATTCCTACTCTTTCTACTTTAATTCCCACTACTTTAATTCCTACTGCCCTACCTAAGCACTTAGAATCAAACGTACTGGTGTTGAGATATGAGCATCCCATCGAGCCGAGTGGATGACTATTTACGGTTTACGGTTTCTAAGTTTTCACAGAAGCTGAACACTCAAATCCCCCACAAGATCTCATCGTCAGCTCCATTTTCCGACCCCACATCGATAGGTTCTGACAAGCGCTTTTCGAGATTTCGAGCAATTTAGGCAACGCTCAGGGTGCACTACTATTAGAGAGAATAAATGCTCTAATCACTCACCCAATGGCAATGAGGTCAACTCGTTCTCTTTCAAATTTAGCTTCATCAACCCGGTCGCCTTGGCGAAGATGCCGATTGGGATTTTTGAGATTTGATTGTGCTCCATGTTGATTGTCTGAAAATTCTTTGCTTTGAAAAGAATTCTTTTTCTATTAGACTCTTTTTTTTTTGATTTGATAATGAGAATTTAAAATGTTTTTCTTTGTTTTTTGCTCACCACAGCTGCCGCAAATTGTTGCGGTCCACCGCCGGGAAACGCGGACAATTCATTCCGTGAAACATTCACGATACGAACTGATGGAAGAGAGGTCAACATACCGTCCTGAATACAGTATAATGAGACAATTAAGAGTACTGTAAAGTGTCTTAAAAACAAATCCATTCTCTTAGCGATGATCTGGATTCAGCACTTTGTTCTATATTTATCTTTTGAATACTTGTTAGCTTCGATTTCCCGATGAGCCTGTGTAATAGCTCTGAATAATAGTGGGACTTTGTGTGAAAAACCATCCAGCGTTGATGGCCGTAGCTCTTCCCTTTCTATTCCACTAACCGGCAACGATGCTAAATGATTTCCTTCAACGATAAACTCCTCCAAATGAACACAACGCTCGATCGAGACAGGCAATTGGCGTAAACGATTATATCTGAAAAGAGCAATAAATTGAGTCGAAGAAAATAACGATCAAGCCTTTTACAATCAAGAACAAAACCTCAATCCAAGTCGAATCAGACTCGTCAATCTGCCCATCGACTCAGGCAGTGCGTCGAGCTCGTTGTGCTGTAGATCGAGTTGGGTCAGAGAATGACAGGAACCGATTTCTAAAAAGGTTTAAGTAGTTGATTCTAAAAATTAGCTAAAGAAAAACTATAGTTAAACAAATAACAAAGAAATAAAAGTCTCTTACTATCCAATGAAGCTCGACTTTTAGCTAACAAAAAAGCATAAATTTGTTTTTTTATTTCTTTTTTTTCTGCAAGGCTAGTTAAAGGATCATTGACTTGTTGGAAATATAAAAGAAGTCAAATTTCTTTTTTATAAACAAACCTTCAGGTATCGATTTGAGATGATTATAGGAGAGAAGACAGACAGCTGAAATTTAGCGTTTATTTTTTATGTATATGTCGTAGCCGTTTAACGAAATTCAGTCGCTAATGAATCATTCGTTAACGGCTAGCCGTTTACGAATGAAAGTTTTCACTAGCCGCTAACGAATGAAAGTTTTCACTAGCCGTTTACGAATGAAAGTTTTCACTAGCCATTTACGAATGAAAGTTTTCGCTAGCCGTTTACGAATGATTCGTAATCGGCTAGCCGCTAACGAATTTGTTTGTTATAAACGTTATTATATTATACATGTTAAATGTTATAAATTTTATTTCACTTATTGTGATTAGTTGATTAGTTTGCGTTTTGCATAAATAGCTTGAAATCAAAAATTCATTTGAATCGAGCCATGTTCGCAGAAGGGGATTACAAATTGTACACGGCTAACGAAAAAATTTCATTTTTAATCGGCTAGCCGTTAACAAATGATTTGTAATCGGCTATCCGTTAACGAATCATTCGTTAACGGCTGAATTTCATAAACGACTACGACATTAAGATTTATTAAAGTTTATTAAAGAACAAACAAAGTGATGGAAGAAGACCGATTGATGAGGGAAGGGAACGGATTTTGTTCTCGCGGAGATCGATCATCTCAAAGATTTCATTCGATTATCGTTTAATAGGATTCTTTTGATCTTTTAAGCCATCGATCCCCTTTTAGCATTCTTTTTCTTGCTCATTTCTTTTCTTTTTTCTCTTACTCACTTTTAATCTCGATAACTTCCCGATATCCTCCCCAATGGCCACAATTCGGTTGTATCTCAACCAGAGCGTTTCAAGTGAGCTTATTTGATAGATAACCGGTGGAATCTGAAAAAAAAATGATAATTTAAACGTTATTTTCCCCCACCTCAGTCAATTTATTGTGTCGGAGATCAAGGGTTTCCAATTGAGTCAAACAACTCAATGAATCTGGCAACGAGCAAAGCGCATTCTCGCTGACACCCAGCTTCTGAAAAAGAGATTATAGTTTTCTTATTGATCTTGATCTTGATCTTGATATTGATCTTGATCTTGATATTGATCTTGATCTTGATCTTGATATTGATCTTGATATTGATCTTGATATTGATCTTGATCTTGATATTGATCTTCATAGTTTTAAGTCATAGATGATTATTGTAATTGTAAAAAGATGATATTAAGCTGTTTTAATATCAGCTTTCTATCTTCTATCTTCTATCTTCTTAAGTTTAGCGCTAGATCGATCTCTGTACAAATCATTACCAGGAATTTGTCTAGGACTATGGATCTTCAACTACTCCAGAACAGGCTAAAGCTTCCAGAATTCAATTTTGGTCTAGAGTTGCTTACAAAAAACGTGGAAATAGATCGACCCGGCCTAGCTTCTCTTCCATTCCCATCGTCTATTCAAGCCTTATCCCCCGTTTAGCTCATAAAATTATTATATAATCTAGTTGTGAGCCTGGACCAGGCCTATTTCACATTATCTATAATCCAGTTTCAATATTTCAATACTATCTGATATTCGATCCATCTGTCAGTTATTCTTTATTTTATTTTCTGACTCAATCAACTCAGTATCTAGTCTTTGTAAAGTTTTTGCTTATTTTCATACCTTCAAATTGACGAGTGCTCCAATCTCATTCGGCAACGCGGTCAGTTTATTCTTGTAGAGGAAAAGCTCGGTGATTTGGGTGAGTTCTCGGATAGTCACTGGGATCGTTGTGATCTGGAAAAGAGAGTTGAAACAATCATTACACCATTTGGCCGTCATAGCTAGATGGTCGCCATGGCCGACTGGCTAAGAGTCCAGCATCTTAGTCGAGAGGTCATGGGTTCAATCCCGTCTACTTTTTTCTTATTGCTTTTTTCTCTAGATATGGACTCTTTTTTTCTTTTCTACATTGTTAGTTGTAGTTTTGCATTGTTTGTATCAAATGGTTTGTATCAATTCGTGTGAATAAATGTATTTGGCACAATTTAGTGTTCGTACTGGTACTGGTAATTGTTCGAATATAATTTCTTTTCAAGAATGCTTAAAATGATCTGAATGATCTTTCTGATTAAACAGATTTCACAAAAAAGAACCCACATCATTTTGACTTAAATCCAATCGGGTCGAGGCGTTGTCTCGACACTTTTGAAGCTCGCGATGAATGTCCTAAATATAGAAATCGTTAAAAATATTCAAATTTTATTGTAAAGACTTGGGCAGTCAATTTTTGACGATTTAAAGCTAGAAGAAAAGTTTTGTTTGGTCTTGTTTTTAGCTGAATACCTGAAGAACCCAAAAAATTCTCTAATTCTCACAAAATCTTAAGCAGATCACTTTGAATTTGCTCTCAAAATAGACCTTAGACGGTCGTCCGTCAGCCTCTTTCCCCGATCCCTTCTCATTCATCGAATGCCGGTGTTTCCCTCTCGCAAAACTCGACAATCTGCCGATCACTCCCGGACTTTTCGAGCGACTTTCTTTTGATGATGGTCGAAATTCGAATTCCGATTGATGCGAGTGTGCCCCTTGGCCTCCTCCATTTCCTTTTCCAATAGCATCGCCCATTCCTCTTAAACAAGCAGCGAGTAGAGCGTCGGCAACTCTCGCCGCCCCAACTCCTCCGCCACCCCCGATACCCGCCAGAACAGAATACACACTCTTGAGGGGTACGAGCCCTGAATGCCATCGGATTTTGAGATTTAAAAATTGCTTTGATAATGACAGAGTTGAAAAACAGAAGTTGAAAAATAGAAGTTGAAAGAGCTAAATAGAAATTGTGTCTGTATAAAAATACAATCAGTCCTACAGTAGTCTTTTATCATATTTAAGGGAAAAGTAAAAGTAAGGAGATTTTTGGATAACTTCCTTGAATATCTTCAAGCAATTAAGAGTCGCTTGAAGATATTCAAGGACTCGACTCTTTAAGTCGATAGTTAAAGTACAATCAACTCTTTAAGTCGATAGTTAAAGTACAATCGACTCTTTAAGTCGATAGTACTTTTTAAATAAGCCATTTTTAAGATTCAAACTCTTTTTCAAAGATTTTACTATCATTAAAAAGATTTTTTTTTTAAATTCTTTACCATTTTATTATCTTTTATAGTTTTTTCTATATAATATTTAAACTTTTCAATACTTTTAAAGTCTTCATTTCTATTGATTTGAGTTCAACAATGAAATTTATTTCCTCAAAAATGATTGATTCTATTTTTAGCAAACTCAAAAGATAAAAGGTGAAAGTCTGAGTTTAAGTGATTTTTTTTTAGAAGAAAAATGAAGGGATTCACTGAAAAGTGATAACAATAAGACAGAAAGACAAAATAGAAAGGGTTTAGAAAGGGTTTAAGAAGGGCAAACATTGGAAATTCAAGAGATAAATGGAGCTTGAAATGGATGGAAATTCGAGAAAAAAGGGAAAGATCAATACAATCAAGAAATGGATGGGGAAAAGATTGAGATTTGTAAATGAGAGAAAAGCTTGAAGGGGGAAATGTTCAAGGGGGGAAATGTTGATAAATGAGGGATCTGATTGAAGTGAGAGAAGATGGGCTATCGATAGAAAGTAAAGCGTTTAAACAAAGTCTAGTACATGTACATGATAAGTAGTACATGATAATTTGATATTAATCTTTGTTTAACGAGCACTCAATGTTCTAGCTACTTCTAATAGTTTCTAGTAAGTTTTGTAGCGGGAGTCGAGCCAAATTTAGGTCAAAAATCTTTGCAAATGATAAAGATTAGTTTAGATTTATTATTTATCGATTTATCGATCTATTATCAATAGTAAAAACAATGAAAGTCAACCAATAGACAAGAGAGAAAAAAATGGGGAAAATGGATGGAGTGGATGGGATGAGTCAAATCGACTTTGGAAATGAGCGGAAATCTGTTGGAGAGGGAAAAGGGAGATCTAGTCAAAAAAGAAGGAAAAGAAAGGAAAAGAATGGATGATCAACGGGTGAAGGGGAGGGGATCACTGCCCATTGATCCCCATTTCAAGGTGGATGAGATGGATAGACGAGAGGATGAGAGACAATGATTGTCTCTCATCCTCTTGGCTATCCCTGTCTATCTTTTCCCCACTTCTCTTTTATCTCGAATTCTTCTCAATTCCTCTAATGATCTCATTCTTTTCCTTTCACCTAAACAATCACCTTTTGGAACACCCAATAAACCTTGAGATCATCCCTGGGAAATGTCTTTCTTTTTTTTTTTTGCTTTCCTTGCTTTTGAGTAAACTTTCGGAAGTTGATTGGAGGTATTGATCTAACATTGAGAGGCTTCACTCAAGCTTTTAGATATATTTTCTGAAAAAATGACATCATCATCTGGGTCTAGAATCAAGGCAGCTAGATAAATCCGATAATCAATTTATCTATTTTTATTTATCTGAGCCACTTTAAAATAAATATTTTTTATGAGTGGCACTCATAAATTAGGAACCAAATTTAGGCAAGGAGGCAAGGAACCAAATTTAGAGAGGCAAGGAACCAAATTTGTTGGAATCATGAACCAAATTTAGATAGATAAGGAACCAAATTTAGAGAGATAAGGAACCAAATTTAGCGAGATAAGGAACCAAATTTAGATAGATAAGGAACCAAATTGACCTATATTCAAATTATGGACCTGGAATCAAGGAAAGTACTTAAATGAAAGATGCTTTCCAAGATTGAAATGAATAATACATTTTTGACAGGTAACATTTGAAAACTCGAGTCTTGAGACCTTTCTGAAGTTCACTAAAGCTGATAAACGCAGCCAGTCTTCAGAAGTAATAGCATATATTTATTTTAAAGCGACACAAAGTTATTGACCCTCTAGGTAAAGGAGAAATAACGGTTAAAACGTGCTTCAAGAATTTTGAAAATAATCTAAACAATATTTTATCTTCAAACCATTACAATGACGTCACCAGTTCTTTAGAAAAAACTTGTAAATAGAAAAAATTTGTAAATGAAGAAAATTGTGAAATTCTCGTAGTTGAGCCTGTTAGTGAAGGGGAATGAATTGGGAAAAGAGAGAGAAAGTGATCACCTTGAATGGGGAATGATAAAAAAAATGGGAAAACAGCGAGAAAAGGGGTAAAAAAGAAACAAAAAAAAGGGAAGTTTTGATCAGAAAATCGATGGAGAAAGACATTTTTTTGTGAGGGTGAGAAGAAAAAAGGAGTGAGTCATTTGGGGAAAAGAAAAGAAATTAAACAAATGCTAGATGGAACAAGGTGTTAGGTACCAAAAATGTCAACGATGCAATTTCCCTGTTTGCCTGGTATTCACGATTTTCTAGATCTGCCAGGCTTAAAGATCAATATAACCGATTACTAAACCATCTTTTACTCTGATACTAATAGTCTTTTACTATTAGTATCAGAGCTGCAGAGTTGACTCATAAAAAACTGATTTAAAAGATTTCACAAAGGCTAACTCTCAATATGTTTATCGTAATTATTCTAGAGAGCCTAAGCCCAATTTCAGCAACTCACTTTCTATTCTAGCAATAACTTTCTTTGTAGTTGACCGATTTAGAAGATTTACATACAATTTTGTTGCAACAAATCGAAAGCAACAAATCGAAAGCAACAAAATCGTACTAAAATCATTGCAATAGGTCAAAAACTAGGAAAGTTGCGAAAGAAAAACCCCAATTTCCTAGTTTTTTTTACCTATTGCAATGATGATTTTGTTGCTCTAGTTGAGTGCAACAAAATTGTGTGTGAATCTTCTAAATCGATCAACTACAAAAAAAAATATTGCTAGAATAGAAAGCGAGTTGCTGAAATTGGGCTCTCTCGAATAATTACGATAAACATATTATAAGTTAGCCTTTGTGAAAGGCGTTAAGCAATTCTTTGATAACAACTTTAGCTAGAAATACAAGTTAAAAAAGAGCTTTGATAACGAAAATCGGTTATTTGATAGGACTTTGAATATCAAGCTTTATGGATTAAGCATTAAGCATTAAGCCTTATGGATTAAGCATTAAGCCTTACAAACTAGAGTGTGTTCTTTGCGAGTAAGTAAATACTCGAGTAAAATTCGCATGAGTAATTTTTACTCGATTAATCAACGCTTTTGGTCAAATAACTACGAGTAATCCTCTTTACACGGTGAATAAATTGAATATCTTTAATTTGAAGGGAATTTGCCACCAAATCAGTTAAACAGCTGAATATCTTTGAAAGGAGTCATATATAAGTGGGCGCTTGTGATTTTTTGGGAGTGGGACAAATGCGACCTTTTTTGCGACAAATGCGACCTGCTTAATGCTTAATCCATAAAGCTTGATATTCAAAGTTCTATCAAATGCGACCCGGACATTTGCGCACCTTTTTTTCCGCACTTAGACCATTAGCGCACCTTTTTTCGCGTTTTAAAAAAGCTCTAAAAAGCTAATATTAACCAATTTCTATTCCAAAAGTTGTTTTTCTAGGTAATTTGAGGGCGTAGAATCGAAATTTTGGCATATCAGAGCTTGTGGAAACAAACGGACGGAGTTATACAAAGAGGAAAATCAACAATTTTCTGTAATTTGACCTAGCCGTTTTGTCTTTCACAATTGGCTCCACACGCTCTGTTATGTCAAAATTTGAATTCGACACCCTCAAATTACCTAGAAAAACAACTTTTGGAATAGAAATTGGTTAATATTAGCTTTTTAGAGCTTTTTTAAAACGCGAAAAAAGGTGCGCTAATGGGCAAGGTGCGGAAAAAAAGGTGCGCAAATGTCCGGGTGCGCAAAAAAAGGTCGCATTTGTCCCACTCCCATTTTTTTTTGCAATAATTTCGCTAAAAGTATTTTTCCCAAGTGTGCACTTTAAAAAAAAACGCATTACCCGGATGAAACACTCTATAACGAACTAAAGGGATGCTAAAGAGTACAATGCTAGCCTTTAATAATAATAATACAAATAAATAATACATACATACATAATAATTCAATACTTGAATACTTTCCAGAAGTTTGACCTTTCTCGGTGCTATGCATATCCGAAAATTAATCTTTTGTACAAAAAAGAAAAAGAGAGAGAGAAGCTGCAGGTGATAAAAACCGGAAATGAGACCACAATGAGAGCTTGCGTAAAAAACAAAAAAAAAAGGATCCTTTCAGTTCGCATTATCAGCAATTTTTGTGTCAATTGAGTGCTTTTCAGCTTTCCCCAAGGTCAACGGAAATCGTTCAAATTTCGGCAACTTTTTTTTTTGCCCATTTCAAAATTTCTTTTGAAGAGTGAGCCTTGGGGAAAATTTTGTCGTTTACGCTGATTTTTGTTGTTTAAAATAAACTTTCGAGTTCAATGCTTGGTCGAGTTATAGTTATAGCTAAAAGTAGAGTCAGGTTTTTAGGTTTTTTTTTTAAATTTTAAAATATCTAATTTGTACTTTGTATATTTGAAAATAAATCCAAGAAAACGTTTGCATTTTTGTTTTCCATTTGCATTTCCATTTGCAAGCGAAGGAAAGAAATTGGCTCAATTTTGCGGGTTCGAGATCTTTTCCGAGATGCAAAAATATAAAATTTTCTTTTCAAAAGAAAAGATCAAAAGATTTTTTGATGTTATCAAT